CAAATTTGGGAGAGCGAGTCAAAAAGGTGGAGGAAAAGAGAATTACGGATGCCGGGGCCACCATTGCCGCCTTCAATAGCGGTGGCGCCGCCAAAGAGGATGAGACGGGGGCCGTGCGTTTTGGTGGCGGCGACGGCGGTGAGGGTGTGGCCGCAGCGGGGACCGGGAGCGTCTTCATCGGTGTCCCAGAATGTCTCTAAGCTACGATAAGTTGGAGCTGGATAAAGCCACGGCTTGGCAGCCATCCCATCCAGCTCTGCTCCACCAATCAAACAACCGGAGGATTGATTGGCACGCAGATCAAAGAGGAACACACTTGAATTACCACATCACCAACGCCGAGAAGAAAGGCCGCCGGAATCCGGTGAAGTTTTCAACGATCTGAGAGAGAGATAGAGAGCGAAACAGAACTGTGATTCTTTCTTACTTTTTCAAGTCGATGAGTAGTGGGGAGGGGGTTTTGCCGTTTTGGAAAGCGAATGCAAAAGACCGATTTTGGGGTTTTTCTTTTTTCCTTTTTTTTTTTTTTCAAAAATCGTTTATTTAAATTCCCCTTTTTTTCTGATTGCTTGAGATGTGAGAGTGAAACACGGCAGGCAGGCAGGCAGGCAGGCAGGGGGGATACGATACGAGTGTGGAAGAAAGTGAGTCAACTATGACACGGTTTGACAAAACCGGAAAACAATCAACCCGGTTTTCATACAACTCCAACTTAGTTCTACCCTATATATATATACAACTATTTATAAATTGATGCACTACACACTAAATTAAAAAGAATCTAATCAATAATCAAGTTTTTGACAATAATTAATGAGTGTCTATTTTGAGAAACTAATAACTTGTATATGTGGTAAGTGATGCTTTTGAGACTATCAGAGCAATCTACCGTCGAATCAACACTATCAGAAATAGCTCACAAAGTTGCCGAAAACAAAGATCTAGCTCTCAAACTCTCAAGCTTTTTATATACGCCAAGATGACCGTTATACTTACACTCAGCCGCTCATTAATTAATACAATAAATGAAGTAATTAAAGCCTTAAATATCGTAAATGTTACTTAATCATTACTCTGACACCTTATCTTCTTTGTGATGGATCATCTCTCTTTAACAACAGTCGATATCACTATTGCTATTAACTTCGCCTTAATCGCCCCATTATTATCTTTCGCTGGGTACTTAGCTCATTCTTCCACTACTCGGGCAGACCTACTTGAGCCTAGTAAGGTTGGTTGACGCACTCGTATTGCTTCTCTAGCCGGCTAGCTGACTCACGCTTCCTTCCTTTTTCAAATGACTAGATCCTCTAACGTTCTGCCATTATGTGTAACTGGTTCATTCACTCTTCTCATCTCATAATCCGGATTCTCATAATCATTCTAATCCTCTTAACTAATTAAGTGAGCCACTTAGCTCTATCAGACCGATCAATTGACGCTCTCATCCTCTGCCTTGATCCGAATGCCTCATCCACTCGTCCAAATCCTCATGCGTGTGTAGGCCGACCCCTCAAAGGATGCTCCACCTCTATTTATTCCATCGATTCTCCATCTGACATAATTATTCCGTCGTTATATTTCGCCTAGCTTCCTTACCCTTCCTCCTTGTTGTTCCACCTGCTGAATTAACCTTTCGTGCTTGGACCCATTATCCATCAATAAGTTTCTTGTACGATCATCTTATAAATTTTGATACGTGAGATGAGTCAGTCAAGATAAAATGTAATACTTATACTATAAGATATAATACTAATCTATAATATATTTTTTGTTACTTATAAAGTGAAGTGTAATACTTTTGACGAAATATGTAATACTTTTAAATAAAAATGTAATATTAGGGATTAAATAGTTACTTATGAAAAAAAAAGTGTAATACTAGTTGAATAAAATATGTTAAAAAATAACAAAGAACTTGTGATCAAGCATAATTTTGAATTTCTCAAATGAAAGGTTACAGGTTCGAATAATTGCAAAATGAGATTAATTTTTTTAATGGATAAGATATTGAAAACAAAAATAAGTAATAAGTAATTAAATAAATAATTCACACGAGTTAGTTGGGTTACTTTTGTTTGATCCAAGATTGTTGGTAACCTACTAAAAATGTTAATTGCACTTTTTTTAAAGGTTTATGGATCAATTTGGAGCTTATTTGAGTTCGGTGGCTTAATTGCTATCCCTAAATAGTTCAATGGCTTATTTGTACTTTTTCCCTAAGTTATTTATAGAGTTAATACCCAAAATAGTCCCTCGACTATGTCGTAATTACCAATTTGGTCCTCGACTATCATTCTTACCCAATTAAGTCCTCAACTATACAATTTTTACCCAATTTAGTCCTTTGTCAATTTGACTGTTTATTGACTGTCAAAAGTGGAAATAAAGTTGTAATTTTACAAGTTTTCTCCTTCCTCCTCATTTAGCAGCGCCAAACCATGTAGCAATAAGCTCCGGTTGGGTTCTAAACCTGTCAGTATCGAAGTAGTGGTTATGCATCGGATAGCCCATGAATTTGATTTCCAACGATTTTTTTACGGTCAAAATCTGATCGGAGTGTATTGCTGCATGGTTTGGCGCTGCTAAATGGAGAGGAAGGAGAAATCTTGTAAAATTATAATTTTATCCCGAGTTTTGACAGTCAACAAATAGTCAAATTAATACAGAGGACTAAATTGCGTAAGAATTGTATAGTTGAGGACTAAATTGGATAAGAATTGTATAGTTGAGGACTTAATTGAGTAAAAGTTACATAGTTGAGGACTTAAATGGGTAAAAATGGTAGTTGAGGACCAAATTGGTAATTATGGCATAGTCGAGAGACCATTTTGGGTATTAACTCTTATTTATAAATAAAGTCAATTCAAAACTATATGTGTATAATAAGTAAAAGAAAGACATGACAATAAATAAAAAGGTTTAAGTTGCAAGAAGTAATTGAATTAGATGCATCTATACGCGCTATATCCCAATGTGTTAGAACTTTAGAACATATGTACCGAGTTTTTTTTTTTTTTTTCTAATAAATGAGATATACTTGATAAAATCATAGTTTGGGGAAAAAAATATGAATAGGAAAATAATTAGGTGGATATGACATGTTTTTCAATTACTGAAGCAGAAAGAGTCAATACTGCATCTATTGAGGCTCAAACCTATCCTCCCATATGAAGGAACAACTTTGTGCCACTAAACCACAAGGTCCTTAGTGACAAGTTAAAAGCATCATAAGTAAAACAACTAAAAACGTGTAAAGAATAAACTATTCATAGTTTAAGGTTATATGACCAACATGCCCTCTTACGTGTAAGGAGAAATTCAAACTCATGACTTGTGGCATGACTTTGATACCAAATTGAAGCATGTGTTCCATCTCAACTAAAAGTCTAATCTAATAGTTAGATTACACATTGATGGTTATATGCTCAACAAATAGCTAGTATATAATAATCATATAAACAAAAATGACAAAATTTTAAAACTCAAAAAGTTTTAAAAATGTATCAATTTCAAAGTTTTAAAGCAACAAAAATCACAATACTCAAAAAATGTATTAACCCCATAAACAAATATTCAACAAAACTTTACCAACATGTTGGATCAATAATCAATATTAATTACAACTTTATAGTAATGTATTACCCAAAATATATGTGACGTAGTTAGGTAATCACACAATTCGTAATTCGGCTCTTATTGTTCTTCTTGTTTTAAGTCGATCAACTATAGACATTGTAAACTAATTTACTTCCATGTAATTCTTTATCAATTAGAATCACAATGGGAGATAACGAATACAAGTTTTCTCGTAAATCAAAGTTTTATTCACAAAAAGTCCATGCATTGTGTTATACTAAGCTAGTTGATGTAATAAAGGGAATCTCTTCTTTTTTTTTTGGTCTCAACCACACATGGTGGTCCGGGTCTTTCTCTATTCGTTTAACGGTCCAAATCCACCCGGTTCGCTCCGAGAGGCACAGAAGCTAGTCCAAAGGGGATCGTCACTTGTGACGGAATCAACCCCGGTTCATCCCGGAATTCTTCCCCACAAAGAGAGCTCATTTGCCACTTGAACTACCCTATTGGGTTTAAAGGGAATCTCTTTAATTAAAGCTTATCTTGTTGGCCATTTAATTTTTAGTTTGCTAGGGTTCAATAAACCCATATTATTATTGTAACCCATCATCATTAGCTGATAAAAAAATCAACCCAATACCTCTAAACCTCCTCATTGATGTACTCTATATATTATATTCATCAATGGCAGGCAATATAATGCACTATTGACTACTCCCTAAGTGCTTTGGGTGATATGAATTTGTGGATGAAATTGCATTTTTAGAGGGGTTATAACATGTTGATTCATAAAATAGATCAAGAAAATAAATATCATTTTCAAAAATAAACACATTATGTAATATGTAATAAACATATTATACATTTTGTTTATAAACACTTTTTGATATGTATATATTATACTAGTTTTACATGAACATGTCCAATGTTATTCATTACTTGCTGTATTTGGTATGGTATAATGTAGTAGTTCTACTTTTGGGTATGGTATAATGTAGTAAATACTACTTTTGGTTAGAATTACTTTAAGTTTTGTTAATTCGCTTTTGAATAGGGTTGTCATTGTCTTCGTCTTCCTTGCTTGTCCGCTTCTTTTCTGTTAATAGTGTCTCATATGCAATTGAGTTACTAGTGCTAGTTTGCAAAGAGAACATATTTGGTCTAATTGGTTTTCTTACATTAAAAAAAAATAAAAAATAAAAATAGATGCATAGAATCACTAAGTTGATTCCTTTATACTAATATATATAAAATTGACCCTGTCATTTTTTTTAGTCATTAATCATCCTAGATGAATGGATCAAATTGGTTCACACTTATCACGAACACTAATAAACGCTTAACAAACGAACACGAAAAATCTTCGTTCGTTCATGTCCGATTCGTTAAGAGCACTATTGCATAGGGTAAAAAAAAAATTGCTTATGATGAGGATCTCAAAAATGCCTTTTTTTTTTCCAATGGACTATAGGATCTAAGTACAACAACATACACCAACCAGTCAAACACGCACAGCTCTTCTCCGGGGCTCTTGCTTTATTTATGAGGCCTAACTCATGTCCCGTGACTATTCATCTACACCAAAAATATCTATGCATCCATCCATTTGTGTCAGTGTCATCCTCATGTTCATCACAAATACCATTACCCCCCCCAACATTTTGATGGACAACCTCCCAAAATGTGCAACTTTTTTCTTCCCCCCACCCCAATCATGATTATTATGTACTCCCAGAAGGCAGGATGACAGGAAAAGTTCCAAACCTTTTCAAGAATGTCTGTCTGTCTGTCTGTCAGTCACAACCTAGAACATCAAGGACAGGGGTTGGGGAATCTCCAGTGGACCTTGTTAATATCGGCAAGTATTTCAGGACCAAGCTCAACTGTGATTGCAGCAACTACCTCTTCAAGCTGCCATATCTTTGTTGCTCCAAACACAGCACTAGCCACAACAGGGTGTCTCAAAACAAAAGCTGCCCAAAATGATTCACAATTTACTACCTTCACTATTACCTTACCAACAACATTCTCTCTTGTTTTGTACTAACAAAATGCCCCCCACATATTGGACATGCATGCAATTATTTGTAATCATTGATGGATCTCAGCGCTGCACTATGCTTACTTCTTAGTAAGTGAAGCATGTTTAACCACAAAATTCTTTGGTTATCTGGTTGTCATATCCTTCTTAAAATCAATTAGTCCCTACCTTCAATATAATATAATGTATTTCATCCTCCATATTTACTACTGGTCTCACTAAATGACACCAATATCTATAATTATATGCATGTCCAGTGTATATACACACACAAAGTGAGAGAGGAGAGATCTTGTCATACCAATTGCAAGAGACACTGGATGAATACCATATTTATCTGCAATTTCACAGTATGACTGCAATAGATAATAGAAGTGCGTTAGCTAGGAAACAAACAAAAATGTGACGCAAATGCAAAACAAACACCTAGAGGGGGGACCATATAGCATGAAAAAGAAAGTAAGAACTATATACACACTATTGCAGCCTGTCTAATTCTGGTGTTTGACAGGTTGTATCTGGATTCCCCTTCCACATACCTCCCTGAATGAATGAAGCAGCTCACTTGTGAGAAATTTTACCAGTAGTATTGCAATAGCAATAAGATTGTGATGTAACCTCTGAACAGATTAAGACGAGCATCATCTGGACCCCCATCAGGTGAGAAGTACTTTCCAGAAAGTATGCCCATTGCTAGAGGGCTGTAGGCTAATAAGCTCACTCTAGGGGAAAAATAAATAAATTCAAGTGATTATTAACTTATCGCTTGCAGTGCAAAGTTTGAATGAGGTGTATGACTACCCAAAGAGATGTATAAAACGCAATGTATTGATACAAGGTTCACCTCTCGTTGTGGCAGCATTCGGCCATTGCCAAATCAAAATTTCGACATAACAAGTTGTATGAGTTCTGAAAATGTAAAACAAAAAGAATCATGGAAGCCAAGTCATGCTTTACTCATAACAATAATTGAGCCATACAGCACCTGGACAGAAACTATTCGATGATAGCCAGTTCCACTTTCGGCAACTTGTAAGAACTTCATGATGCCATAAGGTGTTTCATTACTCAGTCCAATGTATCTGATCTAGAGGGAATAAATTTCACCTTCAATTGAATGCCAAAAAGTAAAGTTGAATAACCAAATTATTAGGAAGCATAAATAACCTTTCCAGCATCGACAGCTCTGCTTAAAGCACTTATTTGTTCCTCAAAACTCACTGAGGAAAAATTTAGGAGCGGATCATATTCAGTTCCTCCAAACATTGGAACATAGCTGTGAGAAGGTCCAAGAAATTTCGATGAAATGGTGGATGACAGAAGGTAAGTCCAAGACGTATTCAGTTTTCGCATTCTAAATTTCTAATTCTCAATTATTAACTGACGCATATGATGCTATCAAAAGAACAGAGAAAATAGAGGGAAATCCATTGTACAAACCGATCAGGCCAGTGAATTTGATACAAGTCTATGTAATCAGTTTTTGCACGCAACAAACTGCACCAGTTCATCAGAAAATTAGTCCAAACAGCAATACAAAATCATTAACTGAAAAGTAAAAGCATAATGGGCCAGTAAATTTGATAAAGGTTTATGTAAGTAACAAGGTGCAACTATTTATCTGGAAAAATGGAAGAAATTAGAAAAACTATCATGATACTATACATTATACAATAAAATAGTAAATAATGTCAACATTAAGAAATGCTTCCAATCAAAGACAACAATCACATTGATGGATCAACCTATTACCTATTGTCAATTGCCTCAGTTACATTCCAGGCATCCAAGCTTTCTGGTCCATTTCGGATCCAAGACATCTGTCCAGAAGGGCCACTGACCTGTATAAAAACAGAAAACAACTAAGAAACCATATGCAATTGGAACAAGTTCAACTGTTCATGGTTAGAAGAAATCAATATAGCATCAGTCTGGAAGTCACAACAACGGTGAGAAACTCTCCTGTTTGTGATATTTCAAACACTGTCATGCCCCATTAGAGTTATTTACTCTTCTGGACAAATTTCCTTCATGCTACATGTATTATAGAGCTCATTAAAAATTGATATTGCATTATACTATCTTTATAAGCATAACTCTACAGTTATGAAACAACTCTTAATGATTCTCTGAGCATCCAATCTAAAATCAGTTGGCAATTGATAAAGTGACTTAGTTGGTTTAGTTGTTTGATATCGGATAACATTACTTCAAACACAAACGAACAAATAAAATAGAAGCAAATTTCACTACCTTTGTTGCAAAAATGACATTGTCTCGGGGGATTTTTCTCTCCTTAATCCATCTGCCAAAGAACTCCTCACTCCTCCCCTGAGTTTCTGCACGCTGAGGCACTGGATACCTAGCATAAAAAAGAGTTCAAGAAAATTCAGTTGAGAGGAACACCAGCTGCACATTAGAGACAAATGTCGAACACTTGGTGTGCATACATTTCAGCAGAATCGAAGAAGTTAATTCCAGCATCCAATGCTCTATCTAGGATCTGAATAGACTGAGAAAAGGTGTTCTGCTCGCCAAATGTCATGGTTCCTGCTTCAGATTTTGGAACTCAGAAAGAAAAAAAGACGTACAAGTGCGAGAACAAAGAAAGAGAGAGCCATGGACTCACCTAAGCAGAGTCTAGACACTCTCATATCTGGAGCAAGATTGAACATAGGCATGGCCAACGCCATTGCAGAGCAGTCTGATACATATTATTACATTAATCTAACTATAAATAATAATTTAACAATCAAATTTCGAAATACTACTGGTAAAACAAACAGTGCAAAAATTAACCTCAGTGAGTCTGCGTCCTTGGTCGCCGTCGCCCCGTAGGCCTCCCGCCTCTGTACAACTGAACTGTTCCGCAATTCCACTGTTCCGCGTCGCGAATGTTTTCCTGCAGATAACGCAGACTCCCCGGCTGGCCGTTGGCGGTGGCTACTCTTCGCGCTTGACGATGTTGTTTGCTTTAAAAGCAGAAGTGCTAAAAGAAATTTAACTGGAGATGCGGGGGATCGAACCCCGTGCCTCTCGCATGCAAAGCGAGCGCCCTACCATTTGAGCTACATCCCCAACTTGATAACATCACAGTTTAAATATTATAAATAATTTAATTAAATCCTGACTACTACACCAATCGCAAGTTGCATTGAATCAAATTACAAGACCCTTAATGAAGTCTTAGCTTTTGTTTCAAAAATTACAAGACCTCACCATTGGGCTCTACAATTTGAGCATACACTTTGGCAATTTATATCAAGAAACATGATCCATATGATGAGAACTGATTGTATTATATTTTCTGAACTTGATTACAATGAGATCAGATGATGTGAATATATAGAATAGAGAGTCACAGTGTAACAATGATAAGAAGTAGAGAGTCACAGTGTGACAAGGATAAGAAGTTCTAAACAGACTCATATACATAGAGTCCTAATACTCCCCCTCAAGCACAGTGTATACTAGTAACCTGTAGCTTGTCCCTTAAGGAAGAAAATCTAGGTCCAGGCAGAGCTTTGGTGAAGATATCAGCAAGTTGATCCTTTGTGGAGATGAAGTTGACTTGGATATCGCCCGAAGCTACTCGATCACGAACAAAATGATAATCAATCTCCACATGCTTGGTGCGCGCATAAAAGATTGGATTGGCACTCATATATGTAGCTCCTAGATTATCACACCATAATTTTGGAATGGAAATAGCCGGAATCTGTATCTCACGCAATAATGACATAATCCATAGAACCTCAGCACAAACATCTGCAAGAGCTTTGTATTCAACCTCAGTGGATGACCTGACAACAGTTCTCTGTTTCTTGCAAACCCATGATATAAGATTACTCCCCAAGAAAACAGCAAAACCACTCGTGGATTTTCGATCGTCAGGACAACCAGCCCAATCAGAATCAGAGAAAGCATGAATGTCTCTAGATGAGCATCGTCGTATGCGTAAACCATGATCAACTGTTCCTTTAACATACCTGAGTACCCGTTTGAGCTGCTCCCAGTGTGATATGGTGGGAGCATGCATATGCTGGCATAACTGATTAACTGCAAAGGATAGGTCAGGTCGTGTGACAGTGAGATATTGCAGTGCTCCAGCTAGACTCCTATACTGTGTGGGATCATCATATAGATCTGAATTAAAGGGGACAGTTTTCGAGACAGAGATAGGTGTAGAAAGGGGTTTGCATTCAGACATTCCAGCCCGTTTTAAAATATCATTCATATACCGTTGTTGAGATAAAATAATCCCATTGTCACTCTTAACTGTTTCAATACCCAGAAAAAAATTTGGTTCACCAAGATCTCTGATTTTGAATGTAGCAGACAGTTTGGACAAGAGCTGAGACATAATACCCTGATCACTTCCCATTACAAGAATGTCATCCACGTACACCAATAGATAAACCAAAGCAGAGTCTTTAGAGTAATAGAACAGAGAGACATCTGTCTTGGATGCTTGAAAGCCAACTGATAGTAAGAACGTATGTAGTCGATTAAACCAAGCTCTGGGAGCTTGTTTTAACCCATACAGAGATCTTTTTAACAAACAAACATGATTCGGGAAGTTAGCATCAATATAACCAGGGGGTTGCTTCATATAAACTGTTTCAGCCAGATTACCATTCAGAAAAGCATTATGAACATCTAGCTGTTTGATAGACCACCCAGATGATAAAGCTAGAGATAGAAGGAGTCTTACAGTCGTAGGCTTTACCACTGGACTAAAAGTGTCGAAGAAGTCCTGGCCTGGAACCTGATTAAAACCTTTCGCAACCAGCCTGGCTTTATGCCTTTCAATAGCACCATCAGCCTTTCTCTTCGTACGAAACACCCATTTACAGCCAATAATATTCATACCGCAGTGGGTGGAACTAGAGACCATGTGTGATTATGCAGGAGAGCATTGAATTCTTGGTCCATGGCTTCACGCCACTCAGGATATTTGACAGCTTGAGAGTGACATGTGGGTTCCGTGGGATGCACTTGAGCTGCTAGAGCAAAAAGAGGAGCATCTGCGTTGCTGCGAGTGGCCATAGAGTGAGTACGGACATTGGGCCTGATGGACCGCCCACGTGGACGGCCTCGTCTGCGAGCAACAGGCTCTACAGGATCACCCAACGAGGCAGCCTGTCCGGGATCCACGGCTGGTTCGAATGAAGCAGGTAGCGGCAGTTCTGGCAGCTCATCATTGGACACGGCAGGAATAGGTGTGTTGTGACTGAGAACAGATTCCGCCCAAGGTCTAGAAAACGGAGTAGATAGATCCTGCAAAGAAGTTTTAATAGCAAAGGGGAAAACTTCTTCATCAAATCTGACATGCCTGCATGTGTAAATCTTATTAGTATGTAAGTCCATGCATCTGTACCCCCTAAAGGACTCAGGATAACCTAGGAAGACACATGGAGAAGACCTGTATGACATCTTATAACGATTATATGGTCGAAGATGATGGTAGCATAAACACCCAAAGACACGAAGAAAAAGATAGGAAGGAGGGGATTTATGTAACAGGAGATAAGGACTGGAGTTATTTAATACAGAAGATGGCATTCTGTTAATTAAATAGACATCAGTCTCAAAGGCAAAATCCCAAAATTTCAAAGGAACAGGGGCATGAGCTAGAAGAGCCAGACCAGTTTCAACAATGTGACGATGTTTTCGTTCAACACGACCATTCTGTTCATGTGTATAGGCACAGAATTGTCTATGTTGAATTCCTAATTAAACAAACAAAGAATGCAACTTTTTGTACTCAGCACCTAAATCAAATTGAATGGCCTTTATTTTGCAATTAAAGGACCGTTCAACAAGAGTACGAAATTTATCAAAGATGACATAAAGATCAGACTTTAATTTCATAGGGAAGAACCATGTATAACGGGAATAGTCATCCACAAAGATCACAAAATAACGGAAGCCAGAAGTAGATAAAGTGGGCGCAGGACCCCAAATGTCTGTGTAAATAAGATCTAGGACTTGAGAACTAGAGGAAGCAACACGGGGGAGGGGAAAACGGGCAGATTTGCCTAATTGACACGCATTGCATAAAGAATTATAACAACGAATATTATCACGAGACCCACTAACCAAACAAGAACGAAGTATGTGGCTAAGAACACGGTTATGAGGATGACCCAGACGATTGTGCCAAGTGGAAGCCGAGGCACGAGCGGAAATAAACGCTGACGGAAACGAACTAGGTAATGAAAGTGTGTATAGTCCCCCGAACTATTGCCCCGAAGAAGTATTTCCTTGGTATTGATATCTTTCACAACAAAAAAGGAGGGGTGAAACTCAAAAAAGACTTTATTATCGGATGCAAACTTCTGAACAGATAATAAAGAATTAGACAAATGCGGAACGTGAAGTATATCAGACAATGTAAATAATCTAGAAGGGGTATTAAAAGAGGCATGGCCAACATGACTAATAGATAAACCCATACCGTCACCGACACGTAAAGTGTCATTACCAGTGTACTTCTCCGATGTAGAAAGGGCAGCGATGTTCGGAGTTGCATGATTTGTGGCTCTAGTGTCCGGAACCCAAGTATGAGAATTTGACGAGGTTTTAGCAACTAAATCATTCTGAAACACCAAATTAGCCTGAGAACCCGGAGCCCCTGAATATCGCCGAAAACAGTTGTCTCCCGTGTGATCGAAACTTTTGCAAATTTGACACGGATCATTATATCGCCAAAAACAATTGGCTCCCGTGTGACCAAAACGTTTACAAATTTGACACGGATCATCATAGCGCCAAAAACAATTGGCTCCCGTGTGACCAAAACGTTTACAAATTTGACACGGATCATCATAGCGCCAAAAACAATTGACTCCTGTGTGGCCGAAACCTTTACAAATTTGACACGGATCATCGCAGCGCTGCATCTTCTTGATTTTATGAATCACAAAACCCTAGCTAACTGATACCAGATGAGAACTGATTGTATTATATTTTCTGAACTTGATTACAATGAGATCAGATGATGTGAATATATAGAATAGAAAGTCACAGTGTAACAATAATAAGAAGTTGAGAATCACAGTGTGACAATGATAAGAAGTTCTAAACAGACTCATATACATAAAATCCTAATACATATAACATTATGAACGTTAAATCAAATAATAGATACAAAATTCATATTAATTTATTTTATGTATAAAATTTTATAATACAAAAACTTGTACTATAAACCTTAGTCTATACCATATAAGGATTGATCTGTATGTTACCTTAGCAACTGTTTTATAATGCGAATTTTTCAATTCTTCCAACTCTACATTTTTTTCTGGTGTGCTGTTAGAAGTTAATTGTACCAAGTTCGCAAATCTGAGAATTTCGTTGTACCAAATACTTCATAATGATAGTTCATCAGTTCTAAATCCCAGTCAATTGAGAAAATTGTGGTTCAATGCACCAGGCAAAAAATTGATTAATAATTTGATAGTCATCACTTGTTAAACTAGCACCCATTTCATAAAGCAAGCATCAAACATTGTATTAACAACTGCAATTCAGCTACTAAATCTACATTTAACACTTTGATTTAGCACTAAATGTTTGACAACAAAAAATTGGCACAACCCCCATTTCTTAGCCCTCGTAAGCTGATCTAAAACTCCTGGGACGCAGATCCAATCTCGCCCTTCCCTTTACCATTCTTCTTGGGAAGCAAACACTGGTTAATGTTGGGCAGAACACCGCCATTGGCGATGGTCACAGATCCTAACAGCTTGCTAAACTCCTCATCGTTCCTCACCGCCAATTGGATGTGCCTTGGGACTATCCTGTTCTTCTTATTGTCCCTTGCGGCATTCCCAGCAAGCTCCAAAACCTAGAAATTCAACAAATCAGCAATTGATTAACGATTACACAACAAAAAACAGAATCAGAATAAAGGAATGATTGAAAGATAAGAGAATTGAGAGCAATATGAACCTCAGCAGCGAGGTATTCGAGAACAGCAGAGAGATAGACCGGAGAACCGGAGCCAACGCGTTGAGCATAACGGCCCTTCTTCAGATACCGGGCGACTCTGCCGACGGGGAACTGAAGGCCGGCCTTTGAAGACCTAGTGACGGATTTTGAGGCTTTAGGCTTGCCGCGGCCGCCGCCGGTGGATTTCACTTCCGCTGCTGCAGAACTCATGGCGATGGAGGTGAACTTGAATGAATTTGATGAATTGAGTTTTCGCTCGCTGGTTGATCGATTTGGGAGGGAAAACAAACACATTCGATCTTTATATAGAGAGGAGCGGCGTCTGGACCTCAATTCTAATTGGTGGATTTGATTTTGCATGGATTGCCAACGTGGCTCACATCTTTTGCCTTTCCGTTCTAGAAATCTTGATTCTGATTGGTTACTTGGTTTTTGCGGAGATTGCCAACGTGGCACCTATTTCACTTTCCCAGGTACTTTTGCGCTCCATCAAATTTTTAACTCCTACTTTGGCGCCACATTATTTGCTTCAATTATTTCCGACTTAAAAAATGTGCTTCAATTATTTCCGACTAATTTTAGCATTAGAATTATAATATAATTTTTAAACTAATTTTAATAAAAAATATAAAGAACACTACATTTTAAAATTGTGCATATTTAAATTTTAATTATGATAACATTCAAAAAAAAAAAAAAAATTTTAATTATGATATGTGATTGATGAGGAACGAATAAAATACACTTTTAATAAATTTAATATACTTTTTATTAATTAAAAATTATCACAGTATAAGGAGTTAATATTTAAAATGAGTTAATACACAAAATCGTCTTCGACTATAGTGATTTTTCTCAATTTTGTCCTAAACGACTTTGGTGACTTAATGTAGTCCCAGAGTTTTGTGTTTTACTCAATTTCGTCTCAGACTTTTGTGTTTTTGCTCAATTTAGTCCCACGTTTGTTATTCCTTCTATTTGTTGTTAAATAAATAGACAATTCAGTAATTTTAATATTGGCATCTCTTTATTCATAGACATGTGAAGTGCGAAATCTCCCTTTTTTTACAAATTACTCCCATAATCACTTATAAAGCTGCGAATATAAAATTTGATTCGTAGGTCTGAGAGTAACTCTGGGTGTAATTCGTGTAAGAAAGAGAGATTTCCCACATCGCATGTTGAAAGTAAAGAGATGTCAATATTGATATTATTGAGTTGTCCCTTTATTTAACACCAATTTGACGGAATAACAAACGGAGGACTAAATTGAGCGAAACACAAAAGTCTGGGACTATATTAGGTCACCAAAGTCGTTTAGGATGAAATTGAAAAGAACCACTATAGTCGAGGACAATTTTGGATATTAACTCTATTTAAAATGATTTATCTACTATAATAACTTTACTATTTTGGTTCTAACTTTTAAGTTTGTAAATAAATCCCTTAACTATAAAATTCTAACTCATTTTAACCATCATGTTAAATGGCCTTTGAATCTAAGACAAATTAGTAATTTCCATACTTTGGTGAGCATCCATTCATACCCAAGGTTGTTGCTTCCTCAATAAATCAATTAAGGGTCCAAAGGAAATAACAAATTTATTTTATAATTGGTGCGGAGAGTGTTTATAGGTTTATGGTCATTCCATGAATATTAGTATGTATTATCGAAGTAGTTCGCAAAGCTCACAATCATTTCAACGAAGTTGAGGCTTTAACTTGTTAGCTAGAACGAGTAAAGTCGTCGGACAAGCAAAATAAATTCATCGTAATCTCCAACATTATTCGAGGCATAAATGTATTTAAATACTGATTTTGCATTGGTGGAAAGGCCATGATTTTTTTTCTTATTTTATACAATATTGCAAGCCAAATTTTTGAAACCTCTACTTCTATTGTGGTAGTAGAACAGGCGAACAGGCATTTAGTGCATGTGAAAACAAGTTAGACGATACTCGTTCAAGGGTGACGTTGCAATCAATCAAAATTCAAGTTTGCACAGCCGATTAGGGGTTGACAAAACGTAGACAACATGAAAGATGATAAATCTACCATCATCAACGACTTATTTTTCCGATTATACAACAACCACTATAATCGAAGTGGAACAAACTGACTCTTGACAAAAAATGTAAGAGAACTACGTGTGCTTTGATTCTTATTGAAATTTCAATAAGATATGTTGGCGACTTAATCTTGGTAAAATTAAGTGCAAGCCCAATTTATTTTTTTAGTTGAACATTAAAATTAAAATATTTGATATAAATATATTTCAAAAAGTTATAGATGTAAAAAAAAATTATTGAATTTGGATTATTTTAAAACAAAACAAAGAATTTCACAGGGAAAAAGAATAGTTTGAATTGACAATTCAAACCGAAACTGCAGATTGGCCATTTTTTAAACTGAAACTGAAACTTCGGTCATACCTACAAGTACGTGATGTTTGGTTCAAAGAATAAAAATAAATAGAATAGAATATAATTCCAACATAAATGAAATAGTAAATGAATAGAATAAGAATACTATTATATTGTTTGGTTCACAAAAAAATGCTATTAGAGAATAAATCATATTATTGTGTTTAGTTGCACTAGGGAATATAAAATGAATATTATTTAAATACCTAAAATACCCCTATTCAAAATAAACACATAAAAATATATACATACTCGCCTACCATAAAATGACTATTGACATTGAAATTTTGATAAATAGATTAGTTTTTAATATTAATATATTTGAAATATTTTGGATAATATTGATATTATCTAATTTGTTAATTAGATAATATGAACAGAGTTTGAACCTATCAAAACTCTTCTATCATTCTTTCCAAAATGTTGAACCCCAACAGAGCATCTGGTAACTCAACTGGCTCCCCTCACTTTGAGAGGTTGCTCAACTGGCTCCCCTCACTTTGAGAGGTTGCTCCACACTGTCGATGGTGAGACTCGATCCCTGGTCATTCTTTTCAACTTTCACCTCTATGACCAGTTGAGCTGCCCATGCGGGCAAAACTCTTCTATCATACCCCTATAAATATGCGCTCTTATTTATATGTATTCGTCATAAGAAATAATCATGTAAACATCTGAAAATAATATTCAGAGATCACAATAAAAATACGATCCTGGAAGTAAAAGTCCCTCCTCCATGATGATCATGCTTGTTGATCCAAACCTCTATTGAAGATCAAACCATTTGAACCCGAAGACCCTTAAACGAAGAACAAACATATAAGTTCTTATTTGGAGATTAAGCCACTTTAATTCTTGAGGCCTTTCAGCGGTGGAGTGTTCAAGGCATCCAATTGAAGAATCAGATGACCATCTAGAGATCTTGTACCCACACCGCATTGATACTTGACTTGATAATCAGAATTTTGAATTCAATATATATATATATATATATATATATATATATATATATATAATTAAATATTCTTTGTTCACAAATTGGCACGCCCAATGGGACAGTTCTGCCTCTCATCTCTTCATAGGCACATATCATTCAACCGGCATGGGGAAAAACCTCATATGAAATTTGAAATGGACGAGACTAAATGATACTCTTTGGCACGAGTTAAAACAGCCTCATATTCTTTAAGGTTCTTTAGCACGAGTTGAAACAGCCTCATATCCTTCAAGGTTATTTGGCACAAGTTGAAACATCCTTATATCTTAAAGTTGTAGTGTTGAGACTTTCTTGCACAACATACTTTCGAGTGGTATATGCTGCTCTTAAAGTTGTAGTGTCGAAATTTTCTTGCACTACATACTTTCGAGTGGTATATGCGGCTCTCAAGTGGCGTACAAGCAAGTCTCGAGGGGCATTTGTTGGCATTGAAATTTTGATAAATAGATATGATGGGGTGTGAACCCCGTGAGCTCGGGGCCCAAGAAGAAAAGAGATCAAGCCCAAGAAGAAGAAGAGAAGCCCAAGAGGAAGATGGAGTAAGCCCAAAAGAGATATGAGCCAAACCGAGGAGTCGGCTCGACCCGGGAGTCGGCGCGAGTGTGGGATTGGCACGGGTAGAAGGTCGGCCTAAAACTAGGCATTAGCCTTATAAAACTCTTAATTATTTACCCTTAAAGTCCTATTTACTACCCTATTTACCTACCCCACCATTCCTAACCTCCCACTTATTACCCAATTATTATTATTTTCCATAACCCCCTAATTATCACCCATCAATACCCTACTAATGGTCCAACAGACACTTTTGGGATGGGCTAGCTATAAAAAGGAGAAGAAGATCACAAGGAGGGGGATTCCATTCATTCATCTACATGTGGGAGGACTCTCCCAAGTACTATTCTCCCACTCACTATTCTTTCTCCTCTAAGAAGACATATCATTCATTCATACATACAAGCACTCTTCCTACACCACTCTCCCAAGAGAAGGCAATTCACATACACAACAAGAAGACTATCAAGAAGACTTCATTCTCCCACAAAGAAGCATACTCCATCTCTATATACAAAGTATAGCTCTTTCCCTACACAATATTTTCATACTACATGTACAATATAGCTCTACAATATGTACAAAGACACCTACAAAATGCATAGTGGAGTTAGGCTTGGCACCGCCCAAAAAGGCCCGTGATTTTCCTTTCGGTTTCCACGTACAAAAAGCATTGAGTTATATTTTCTACTTATTTTTTCTATAAGCCGCACGTGAAAGGTGAATCCACCGACCAAGGTTGTGTTGGACCTCTCTGGGCCCAAAAACCCAAAAACCAACAAGATAGATTAGTTTTTAATATTAGTATATTTGAAATATTTTGGATAATACTGATATTATCTAATTAACAAATTAGATAATATCAAAAGAGTTTGAACACATCAAAATTCGTCTATCCTATCCCTATAAATATGAGCTCTTATTTCTATGTATTTATCCTAGGAAATAATAATATAAACATATGAAAATATTATTTAGAGATCAAAATAAAAATGCGATCCTGAAAGCAAAAGTCCCTCCTCCATGATGATCATGCCTGTTGATCAAAACTTCTATTGAAGATCAAGCCATTTGAACAACAAACATATATGTTGTTCTTTGGAGATTAAACCACTTGAATTATGCAGGCCATTCAGTGGTGGAGTGTTCAAGGCATCCAATTGAAGAATCAGAGGACCATCCAGAGATCTTGTACCCACACCGCATTGATACTTGATTTGATAATCAGAATTTTGAATTCAAAAAAAAAAAAAAAAAAATATATATATATATATATATATATATATATATATATATATATATATATATATATATATATAATTTTCTTTGTTCATAATGACAAAACAACATAAAAATTATTGTATTATTTCAAAAAACAATTATAAATAAAAATAAACTGAAGAACAAAACAATACTAACAAAGAAAAAAATATACTATACATTTCTCGTGTTCGTGTACTACATGTGTATGTATATATAACCATCCAGAGATCTTGTACCCACACCGCATTGATACTTGATTTGATAATCAGAATTTTGAATTATATATATATATATATATATATATATATATATATATATATATATTTCAATTTTCTTTGTTCATAATGACAAAACAACATAAAAATTATTGTATTATTTCAAAAAACAATTATAAATAAAAATAAACTGAAGAACAAAACAATACTAACAAAGAAAAAAATATACTATACATTTCTCGTGTTCGTGTACTACATGTGTATGTATATATACATATATAAAATTCAATTTGGAGGAAAACATAAACACATAAATATATATATACACACATGAAATTGAGAAAAAAAAAAAAGGAATAAAGAAGAAACATAGAAACATATTATTACACCTTAGCAATTATTGGAAGCGATATATTAATTGTAGGAGTATAAAGAATGCATGGAAATATATGTATTTCTATGAAGGGGTTATAATGGTATTTTTAAAATACTTCATAATAAAATAGTTTTTCTAATGGACTAGAAATAGCTAATACTAATGAATTCTTGAAATGATTATTTTCATTGCAAAAGGAATTGCTCATTATATTCTGTGAAATTCTCTTCCTTGTAAAAATGGAACCAAACAACATAATAAATATATTATATGAAATGGACATTCCATTTCTAATATATTTTATGAACCAAATTAGACTTATCCAGAGATTGGTTCCCAGGAAAGACTTGGTATTATGACTTGTGACATTAAAAAAAGGGTGGGGCATGGCGTTTTAGTTAACTACTCAACATATAAGAGATTAAATATGAAACCAAAAAAAGTGAAATTTTGTCTTTATGTAAACTTTTTTAATACTATGCGGTAAGCAAGATAAAGAACCAAGCAGTTCTTTATTTTTTTTATTTTTTTTTTCATTTTCCTTTTGGGAAGTCTCTTTCCTTTGCCCAATTTGTTTGAAATACAAATAAAGCAGTCAAGAAGTTAGTTGAGATGTCATGAATAAATTATATAAACATTAAATAAGTAGCAATAAGTTTGTGTTATTCCATCAATATTTTATATACATCGTCTAAAAAGCATATAGAAGAGTAGTAGTTGAAGAAAAGGATTTTTAAAAAAAAAAAGTTGAAAATTTGTTTTTTAAATTTTTTTTCATAGTTTATAAATTTAATATAATGAAGGTGTAATGACCTCAGCTGATGGGTAAAAATTGTACAGAAAATGTAATCAATATGATGGTGTGACCTATTATTAGTAATTAATTTATTTTTTTAAAAAAATTAACCAATAGCAACACATCATACGTACATTTTGTAAAATGTTTGATGTTAAATTTAAAGAAACACATAATACAACTAGGTAATATAGGTTAGGAAACTAAACCCTAACGCAAATTCTTGCTAAAAACATGATTGTAATACTATACAAAAATAAAATAGAACCAAAACATTTGGTTTTGATACAAAATCTAAAGTACTAACATATATACACACAAGTTGATGTTGGGTGGACAAGTAAATTGTCAAGTCCAACAATTAGTGACTAGAAAATTATTGGGCGAAGGTTGGTGAAGGATCAAGTCCAGTATTATACTTTTCGAAATGCAATGACGGTATATAAGAAAGTAAAGTTTCATCTTCGCTGTGAATTTTAACTTTTGATGTAGTAGTATGGATTGTTGGGCATAGATCGGTGAAAGACCAAGTTGTATCTCTAGAAAGAATTTACAAAAAGGAAAGAATGGGTTCCCGCAGGCATGTCCCTTGAAATTGGGTTTGGCACCATGAGCAATTAAATACAACGCCACATGTTTGTGTCCCATTTCGATGGCATGATGTAAGGGCATGCAGCTAAAACATTTGGTTTTGATACAAAAACTCTAGTACTAGCATATATAGTGTTGGTTGTACGGGTACACGGTAGCCGGTTGACAGATCAACATTACTGCTAACAAAGCAAGAAATAGCACGAGAACAATGTTATTGTTAGAAAGTATAAACCGAATCCTTACAATGTGACCCCTAAGGGGTATTTATACATACTTGATTGATTAAAGAAAGGAAAGGGAAATGTATCCAAATTTTGATTAAGAAACTTCCCTAAATCAAATTTAGATTTACTTCTTCAATTACAAGATCTTATTTCTAAATTTGAAAAAAAAGAAAACCGGTTGAGATTTGATAAAGATTCCTTGAATATTCTTCTGGATATCCTCGGCCTTTGCTCTCGGCTCGACTCGATTGGCTACCTCCATTGATCGATTGCCAGACCGGTGGCTCTAACTGGGTATCCATCATATACGTCAGTTGACATATTATATGTCTCTAGAAAGAATTTACAGAAAGGGAATGATGGGTTCCCGCGAGCTTAAGTCCCTTGAAATTGGGTTTGGCACCATGAGCGATTAAATACAACGCGATCTGTCTGTGTCCCATTTCAATGGCATGATGTAAAGGCATGTAGCCACAATCATCCACCGGGTCAACCTTAGCGCCATGTTTCAGCAACACCTTAACGCACTCGAGCCGGCCCTTGAAAGCCGCCCTGTGCAGGGGAGTCCACCCGTTCTGATCCCTCCCGTTCACGTTAGCCCCCTCCGCCAAGCATTTGCTCAGACCCCCCACGTCCCCAGTCCTAGCCGCTCGGTGCAACGCATCTCCCAGCCGCAACATATCGTACAGATCGGAGTGTCCCCTTTCCACGGAAACATCAAACGGGGTCTTCCCGTCTTTGGTTAAAAGATTCTTCGCTAGCTTGGAGCTATTCACCAGGATCTCCACCGCCCGGATCTGGCCGGAGTTCGCCGCGTGGTGAAGCGGCGTCCATTTGTTAGCGTCCTGGAGATCGGGATCGCACCCTACTGATATGAGAAACTGTAGGGATTCGACGTGGGATTGGATTGCCGCTACGTGAAGCGCGGTTTGATTTCTGGAGTCGAGTGAGTTGAAATCGATGTCTATGTAGCCGAGACACAAGATCTCCATCAAGTCCACCCGGTCAATCGCCGCCGCTTGGTGTAAGAACCGGTCGATTCTGTTGTCGATCGTGTACCCGGCCCGGATCAAAACCTCAACCGAATCAATGCTTCCGGCCTCAACCGCTAGCCCCATGGCGGAGACTCCGTCGAAATCCCTACTGTTTACATCTGCTCCGGCCTCAATTAACGCGGAAACGGCGTGGAAATTCCCCCTCCTGGCCGCAGATCTGAGCAGAGAATTCAGCTGAGGTTTCCGGCACCAGGAAATCGCCTTAGGGAGTAGAAAATTGGTTTCTAACGAATTAGAAGAGGAAGGGGAAAGAAGGAAGTCCACGACATCAGCTCCAACAAAACAGATTGGAATCTTAGCATCCTTGAAAATATTGGGGCCGGGCCGTGAAAATATACGGCGGAGATCTTCCTGGGTGGCCTTGCCGGTGGGAAGCATGGAGGACCGGACGAGAACAGAGTCAAGCGGCGAGGACACCGGCGGGAGATCACAGGGGCGAGCCAAGGAAACCTTGAAGCAAGCAGTGGATAGAGGCTTGACGATAGAAAACTGTGGCGAGGAAGAGAAGAGAGAGGGATTTGTGGGTGTGAGATTAACCGCTACGGACATGGTGTGCATGAGGTTGGTTAGGTTGAAGGTGGCAGAGGAGTTGTGGCCTCTGGTAAAGTGAAGGTTGAGTTCTTCAACATCGGGCTTCACCAGCTTGTCCATGGCGGTAATGGGTAATCAAGATGGTGGAGAAGAAGAAGAATTTTTCAAGCTTTAGTTTAGTTTGGTGTTTTGGAATTTGGAGAATGGCGGCACATAGAAACGGGAATGGGATGGATAGATGCTTTTCATTTGATAATAATGGACTAATGGGTGGAACATTATTTTTACATGATTATATCCTATAGTTTGTGTCGTATTAATACTATAATTTCAATCAAACCAGTGGGACCATGGGTCCATAGAATATGTATTTGGACGAGATGGGTCCGGTCTTGCACTCTTGCATGAGGTTTGCTGTGTGAAACACGTAAAATTGAAAGATCAACAACTCGTTTTTTTGTTGACAAAATCAACTTTCATGTTATGTTTTCATACGGCAGCTGTGCTCTCTGTGTGGCCCACAAGCGACTGTATTAAGAGTTCTATTTTATATTTGCACGGGCTTAACTCAATGATTTAGTGGGTAGTATTTGTGATAAGAGATCAAGGTTCGAACCTCAGCAGCAGCAGTGTGAGAATTATGTTCAAAGTGGGCAGATTCCTTGTGCGCACCGGCATTTGAGTCACCGTGATTTGCCTTTTGGAGTAAGAGTTTTATTTCTTTGTTTTTATTATCAGATTTTTATATCTTTATTTTTATTTCATGACATGATAAATAAAGTTTGAATATTTTTATTATGTGGATCTCAAAAAAATAAGTCTACATCAAGAATTTGTAAAAAGAAGTGTAAATTTAAAAGTAAAAAAATGAAAGTACATATTGGAATCAATGTCGGAGTAAGAGCAAATGATGGCTTAATTAATAGCACAAGGGAATAATGAGATGGAATATTAAACAGTTTAATCATTCCATTACGCTTATCATCTCGCAAAGTGACAATTTAGGTTGCCACTCTTGAGTCAGTCTTATCAGGTTTATCAAAAGTTGAGTCTTGTAAATAATACGCGATATTGGTTCTATAATTATTAAAACAATTTAAGTTTCAATATTTATTAAAAGAATTTCACATCCTTTCTTAAAATTTCCATAACCCGGTGAATCGTTGATCTATCAAAATAAATAGATCATATCAGTCATCACTTTTTATATGAGAGTCAATTTTCACATGAACTCTCTCAATGTATCATTAGGTGTGGTGCATTTATGCATTTCATTCCGTTATATTTTCACACTTTGTGATACATTTATGCATATCTAGTGGTACAATCCGCACCCGAAGTGATACAATCCTGAGGTTGTATGGGTTGCTCTTCTTCGAGTCAAGAGCCAAACTCCATGGCTGTGCTTCGAGTGGCAGCCAAACTCCCAATGACTATACTTCGAGTGATAGTCTAACTCCCAAAATGTCTCCAGACATTCATAAATATATTCTTCATTCCTTCCTAGGTTGCCCAGTCATCCGCTTCCCATAAGCCACAACATATTCTCATGGGCTGAATCTTTGGGAATGGAATCCCAATGCTGCCAAGTGAATCATTGTAGGATGGTTGTGGTAACTGCATCTAACTTGGCATCTTCTTGAAGCTGCTATGCGAATCCACAAGCTCTACTCTGTTTATGGGTTTTTTTTTTTTTTTTTCTAAGCCTGAAAATAATTTTTCCAGGTTGATACTCTCAACGAGAGCACCAATTAATACAACCCTGAGGTTGTATGGGTTGCTCTTCTTCGAGTCAAGAGCCAAACTCCATGGCTGTGCTTCGAGTGACAGCCAAACTCCCAATGACTATACTTCGAGCGATAGTCTAACTCCCAAAATGTCTCCAGACATCCATAAATATATTCTTCATTGATTCCTATTCTTCAGATACATAGGTTGGTATATATACAGGACCATAAAACCACCCACTACCCCTTGTACCCCACTACTACTATTCCACTATAAACTAAATCAATAATAATAATAATAATAATAATAATAATAATAATAATAATAATAATAATAATAATAGTAGTAGTAGTAGTAGTAGTACAGCACCCGTGGTTGTATCACGAAGCCTTGTCCGCATTTGATCCAATATATATATATATATATATATATATATATATATATATATATATATATATGTTGGAGATAATGAACCACAATCGATTTAATATCCGTAAAATAATATTTATATATAAAACGGACCCAACGGTTATATATACATGTATATCTACGAAAAAGATATACCAATATATATCAACCAAAAGGAAAAAGATATACCAAGAAAGAAGGAGAAGGAAGAAAGAAATGTACGAGTTAGGCAAGGTGCCTTTCTTTCCTTAAAACCTTATTTGCCACCTCCCAAAAGTGCTAGGAGCGTTGTGGCCTAGGTCTCCCAGGATAAAACGTACAACGGTTCGACGTTTGAGCACCCAAACGAACGAACCCGGCGAACAAGAGCACGGGCAAAACGCAGCTTCAAGAATGGAGTAGAAGCAGAAGTATTTTAAGGCTTGAAAAAGATATTTTTCTTGTGTGTTCTTGTTACTTTTTCCTTAGAAAAATTCTGCTGCACTCTACCCCTTCTTATATAGGGAGTGAGGAATGAATAGCCTTTATTATGGCATTTAGGGGCATCCCTACAACTCTTGTAACATCCACCATTTACATAGGTTTTAATTCAAAAATTGAAATTGGAATTAATTCAAAAATTAATTCCATAACAGCTGAATTAAATCCCAACAGTCACAAATTAAAAGCTGTAGGAAAACTGTGTTGGCCAGCACAGTTTCGGCCAAAGCCGAAACTGGCTTTCGGCCGAAACTTACAAAGTAAACTGGCTTTCGGCCGAAACTTTGCAAATTACAAAGTTTCGGCCAAATGGCCGAAAGCTTTGCAATTGCAAAGTTTGGGCCATTTCCATGTGGCCGAAACTTTGCAATTGCAAAGTTTGGGCCATCCATTTGGCCCAAACAAAGTTTCGGCCAAGTGGTCGAAACTTGCACACTAACCCCTACGAAATCATCACAAAGTTTCGTGTTTTTCAGTGGCTGTGTCGGAAAATGAATACCGAAGTTTTGGGATTTGATTTGCACCCCCCTGCGCACGAGAGAGAGCCTCTATACTATACAATTCAATAAGCTTAAAAAGAGCTCTTGTATAAATAGTGGGGCAAATCCTCTTCCCAAACCAATGTGGGACAAAAACTCACTTTTTCCCTTCATTTTCCAACTCACATGGGTCTACTTTGAGAATCAATATCTCATTCACCCATTATCCGTTTTGAGCGTACAATATATCAATCTCTTCGTCTCACTACGAAGAACCCGAATCCACTTTGGCCCGACCCAAATCGGAAGTGGACCCCACTGATAATTGTACCACAAAATAGCCACTTAAATATGCCATTTTATGCCATTTTAAGCTATTTTTTCCAACAATATATATATATATATATATATATATATATATATATATATATATATATATATATATATATATATGATTTTGAATCCAGTGAGGTCACTATATTCAGGTAAGATCGTGAGATTCGATCATGAGCATCCATTTCTATATTTGAAGGGTTTAGATTGATAGTTTATTTTATTGGTAAATGGCTGGTATCCCATATACTTAGGGGTAGATGGGTAATTTTATAATGTCATTAATTGTATTACCGTGTGTAGATCACTCGTGATTCTCCTTTCCTTATGCGTTACATTTTCTGTTCTTTTCAAAAGTCGCACCTTTTTGCGTTTTTCTCGGTGAATATGCAGTACACGAGTCGTGGCCCAGGATTCTGAAATTCTTCCTGCCGGTGTCCATAGCCCTTCAATCTCCATGGCTGGCTCAACCACTAGGCAATCTAAGCGTCGAATGAGTACTTCTTCAATTGTTGTTCAAGGTATTTTCCTGCTTATTTGTTGTTGTTCATCGTTTTTGGTGTTCGCTTGATCGCATGATGGGTTTGGGGTTGTGGGTAGGGTTGGTTTCCGGTAGGCACTCACCGCTCGCCAGCAGGAGTCGACACCGGTCGTTTGTGGGCGATGTCGCCGGCAGTAGTCGACACTCGCCGGAGTTTTATGGAGTCCGACAGTGTCTGACTCTGCCGCTGGTGAATGTCGTTCTCTAGCGACGGCAGTTGTCGGCGCCTCGGCAGTGCTCCGGTGATTGTGAACCACTGTAGGGTTTTATCTCCAGGGTTCATAGGTTTTTTTTTTTTTTTTTTTTTTTTTTTTTTTTTTTTTTTTTTTAATTTATGTTCCTGTTTAATAATCTGGTTTTCTTTAGAGTCTGTATTTTTTAGGTGGGTGCATGTGTGTTTTGTGGTCTGTGCTTTGGTGAATTAGGTGTGTGCCTATGAATAGATGTCATTTGATTTTGGTTTGTGTGAGATATATTCATATATTCTTAAGATGGGTTGAATATCAATGCTACATAACCTGAAAACCAATTAGCTGCAAATATTAGTGTTGTGTATCTTCAAAAGGACAATTCAAGTAATAATGTGCAGCAAAGTCAATGAATCTCTGAATGTCAAATATGAATCCGGTGTAAACAACATAAGAGAAACAGGAAAAATAATCTGAACTTTGGCCTGAATGATGGTCTGTATATCAAAATGATATTATATGGACTTCCAATTAGAGCCAATTGTTAAAGGTTGATGATACTATACACAAACCACCAAAACAAAATAATTTTAAGTATTCATATTATATGGACTTCCAAACAGAACATGTGTCCCCCTCCCCCAACTGTAGTTTGTATTCATACATGCATCTGAGGATACACAGTAACATTAATTTTAAGTATATTCATTCCATCATATTAATTAAATTGTTTTCTGTAATCAGATATTAACTTCATTATTATTTTGGTATGATTTGAGTCTGTTAAACTTGATTGAGAAAAATAAATATTTTTACTATATTCTGTCAATTATTTACGAGTAGTCATTCTTCGTTGTCAGTTGTTATTTCTTTCAACATTTTGTTATTTTTCACATAAATTTGAGGATTTGGAGAAAAATGGGTGTGTTGACTTACAATAAATTTTTTTTATCTCTAATGAAAATACCGGTTTAATTGGATTGGAGTTAAAAGTAACTAATGGAAGTTCTTAAATGGTCGTGTGATGTGGTATAATAATTACTGGTTGTATGCATTTTAGTTGCAAATACCCTTCTAGACTGAAATTCACTGTTCCTTAGTCTAGCTATTATCTGGAAACATTCTTTATTTATTTAATTTTTAAATAACTCAGTCTAGCTATATGGATCTTTATGACAATACACAGCTGTATATATGCTTTTATGATATTACCAGCCATTTGAATCTAGAATTATCCTACAGTGCAGGATTGGGAAGATGGATTTAATGATACAGCAACCTTATGCAAGAAAATATATGCTGAGCATGAAAACCTTTGGTAAGAAGTTTGGTGCAGTAGTCTCTGTATAATTGTTACATGAATCAAACTAGTAGAAATGTCAGGATCACTACAAACAACTTAGCATGCATCGTCTGTTAAAACCAATGCCTGCATATCACCATATTTTTATTTATATTTGGGTTTCCCTATACAATCATTTCCTGTTGATCAATTTACAATAACCTTAAAGTTGTTTCATCTTATCCACTATTAACATATTCTGATGTTGATAGTACATGGCATACTTGTAGTTGTGTTAGGTGGAGAACTAGCACAAGCCCAACTGCAATAACGCACACGCCAAAAACTCAAAAATGATCCGTGTGCGCTGTACTGGTTGGGTGTGTGCTCGGAGTTCCTAATTGTTACACATCATTCACTCTACCGTCTACACTTGCCATCCCTACCGTGTTATGCACACGCCAATTTGCTTAAATGTAAACTAAAAAATGTTGATAGTAAATGTAATATTTTTCTTTTCGTTTACTGTTTAAAGATGACAGTACAGTGTAAAATAATTTATAATTGTGTTTTTTTTCTTTTTGATGTGCTAGCTTGTCGTATGTGCACTAACGTAGGTAGTTTTTTGTTTTTATGTTTTGTGGGGACTACCCTTTATTTTTTTAGGTGTATATTATCACATTTTGCTATGTGCATGTCGTTTACATGATCGCGTTTTGTTGTGTGCATGGTAGTTATGGCATGTGTGCGCAATGGAATATGTTGCACACTACGTTATCATTTTTCTTTATTATTATTATTATTATTATTATTATTATTATATTATTATTATTTGTTTTCTTGATGTGTTTGTGTTTAGACCCTTTTTTGTGTGTTTGTGCATTAAGCTTGGGTATTAGTAGGGAACAATGTTGAAGAGAATCCAGATGATGTGGTAGCTATCTCATCGACCGATGACTTTGTTTCTCCCCCTGTTGTCGTGTCCAATCCTACCCAAGTAGACCCGCGCTTCGGACGCTTCAGATGATGGGCTTGCTGTGGATGGCGTAAAACTCTTCCCGGCTTCACGTTTCCTGGGATTTCCCTTGGACGGTTGTGTATTGTTCCTTTTTTTTTTCCTGGTAAAAAATGATGTTACAGCCTCGCGCACATGCCCAACTGTACTACTGCACACGCCAAAAACTCAAAAAGAAATAAGATGGGTATCATAAGCACTGTAATGGGGTTTTCTTATTTTTGGATTTGGGAACACATTTTGGATTCTGGCTGGCAATGTCATGGTTAGGTTTTTTTTTTTTTTTTTTTTGTTTTTGGGTTCTCATTTTGCATTCTTGTTTATTTTCGTTTTTAGTAGATAAGGATTACCTTTTATACCAAGATGCATATGATTTTGTTATAATTATAATTCGTACAATACTTAAATTTTGGACAAAATCAAAGCATTGAAGCAGTTTTAGTTCTATTTTTGTAATTACTTTTTTTTTTTATTGCTAAGAACGTAAATGTAATCTAGAGGATACTCCTGCTTACTCTTATCTACTATTAACAGAGTGGCATACTTGTTGTGCTAGGTGGAGAACTAGCACAGGCCCAACTGCAATAGCGCACACGCCAAAAACTCAAAATGATTTGTGCGCTATAGTGGTTGGGTGTGTGCTCGGAGTTCCTAATTGTTACACATAATTCATTCTACACTTGTCATTCCTATCGTGTTATGCACATGCCAATTTGTGTAAATGTAAACTCAAAAATGTTGATAGTAAATGTAATATTTTTCCTTTCGTTTTCTGTTTAAAAATGACGCTATAGTGTAATGCACAAGTCCAACTGTTCTAACGCACACGCCTAATATTATTCTAACGCACACGCCTAAAATAAATGAACACACCATACCACATAACTGCATACACGTAAAAATGCACACGCAATATACCATACATGCTCACACCACCATTTTATATTCTTGCTAGTCGATATGTTACAATGTTCCATTGAAAAAAAAAAAAGGACAGGTCATTCCCATAAATGAACAACCCACTTGTAAAAAAAAATCGTGGCCTACATGTTACAAAGTACCATTATAAAAAAATTTGCAAACGTCTTTCCACATAAAAGCACACACCACCGTCAAAAAACAAAAAAAAAATCTCGGAATTTTGCACACGTCATACCACACAAACGCACACGCATCTCTAAAACGTTCACACACCTACGTAGGAATTTGAAAGAAAAAAAATAATTGACAAGCACAATACTAGAGCTACTATGCACTTACTATCTATTCAAAATGCAAACGCCAGTACAAACAATTTTTTTTTATTGGTTACGTAATTCCAATAAACTTGCACAAGACCAAAAAAAAAAAAAAAAAAAACATAAAAATGCACACTCAATGTTATAGTAGTTATCAAAAACACAGTGTTATGCACACGACCGAATAAAGTAACGCATACACCGACAAATAAAAACCATCGTAACATTAACCTAAATTAAAATTACAGATTTATCATTTCAAAAAAAAATTATAGATTTACATTCCTGTGTTGGCACGTTACTGCTTCAATAGACTTAATTATTACAATCCCTTATATTATGGTAAAAATTCTATTTTAATTATAACCAAAATTAAACACCATAATAGAATTACTCTTTCACCCTTCCCTTTTAAATTTATCCTTAATTAATTGATATTTGACTTTCAATCCTATCCATCCATTGAAAATTTATTAATGGATAAGATGAGATCTCATGATCTCATCTATCAAGAGGACCTCATGGGATCCAAAGCCATATATATATATATATATATATATATATATATATATATATATATATATATATATATATATATATACAAACGCGATTAAGTGTTTTTACACACATTTAATTCGCGTTCGCACACACTTAATCTAATCTAGACTATTAAAAAATATTAGATAAATGCACACGATTTGTTCTTACGTTCTCACCTAAGCAAGTGTTCTCATTAGAACCCTACTATATATATATATATATATATATATATATATATATATATATATATATATATATATATATATATATATATATATATATATATATATATATATATTGTTGAGTACTAATGGGGACCAAATTTTGGGCCAGAACTCGTGAGAGTGCTGGGAGTCTGGGACATTCTTATGGTCAAATCAATTTATATAATCTCTGTCTTGTGTTGAAAAATAATTAACAATTTTATTTATATATTATTTAAATATACAATAGAATAATACCTAATATAATTTTAATAAAATTGGCAGTGTTAATCAACACAGTACTTTTACACTAGGTATAAAAAAAAAATACATTGCATGCATATTTGTTTTGGAGGCTTGGAGCACTACTCATAAAATATCATAAATGACCAGTTATTCAAATACCACGTATAAAACTGTTTATACAAGAATACATATATATGTTATCAAAACAGTAAGGGTCCAAGCTGAACTGCTTATGATGGCCAATATAATGATTATATGATTAGTACTCTTGTTCTTGCTTGAAGAACTGAAGCTTTTGAGAGGGGAGGAAATTCTTCGTTTGCAGCGATAATGTTTTGGTAGGTTGCATGTGCATGAGAAGAATAATAGGGTTTATCATGCTTTACTACCTTTTCATTCTTGCCAACTTTCTGTGGAGTTGATGATTCTTTAAATTGAAGGGGACGAAAAATAATAGGTTGAATTCTCATAAGCTCTAGATCAGGTTTGTAGTTGTAAGGCAATTTGCTTTCATCCATCCTTCTAAAAGTAATAGAAATTCTGCAATAAGAGAAATAAGAAGAAAGATTAGTACCTCATAGGCAAAAGAATATAATATAAGAACGAATGCTGAAGTGATCTTAATTTATTAATGGCTTTTAATGATTTACCTTTTAGATGAAACACGAGGTATGCAATGTTTTGCAACATCAGCTCCATTACCTTGTAAAACAAGCACCGATCTGCATTATAACAATTCAAAGTTAAAAGACTTCTATTTTCATGATTTCCACATTTTCGATCTCTTTATATATGAATTAGATAGAAAAGATATTGAATAACATACCCGACTGGTAGAGGTACCGAGACTGGACCGAAAAATTCTCCAATGCCATGATTAAGAATCTTCAAACTCGAGCCAAAAACAATGTTGCATTCTGACAAAAACGATACGGAGCAAAACGGTCGAATAAAGTCGTGATGGTCGATATGGGGAGGAATGCAGTCACCCTCATCGTAAATGTTCACAATGCAGCTATTAGGGATACATGTTGGAGGCAAAACATGCCACCTAACCATCCGCTTAATCATTTGCTTAAATAAAACAGGCAATGGATCTACTTCTTCATCTCTGATTATACCAGGAGGATTGCCATTTTTATCCTATATATCACAAAACCATAATCCATAAGCTTCTAAAAAAAATAAGTAATAAGGAATATGAATATAATAAGCTAAGTAATAATTTTACCACTGCATAATTGTAACAACCACCAAATTGAATAATTGTACACCCTTTGCACCCCATCCACTTCTTTGGTTCATAATATGTTCTTGCTGCAAATTAAAGAGTTAAACACACTAAGTAAGATATAATCATCAATACCCATTTTCATAATATCTAATTGACTATTAACATTGCTTATATACCTCTAAGTTGTCCTTTTCGACCCAATTGTTGATACTTGTACACGCATTCAACAATCTTCATTTGCTCTTCTACGTCGAAAATCTCAGTATGTAATTCAACACCTTCAACCACGTTTATCACTTTCCCATCCACTCTCTTGTAGTGAACAAAATCCTTCTTACTCTTCACTTGCGCGAATCTCATATGTTCTATCTTCTCCTCATCCGAGAACGCCGGGGTCTGTTTCCGATTTACTGGTGTCGGCGACGATGCATCAGAAACCAATTTTTTCAACGGATTCCGGTAAGTAGGTGCAACTATGGGTGCATGCAGCATAGTAGATTTCTCATAGGGGCAAGAAAATGATATTTCACCAAATTGAACTACAATTTTAAAAAAAAAAATAAAAAATAAAAAATGTTAACACACTCGAAAGGAAAAATAGTCATGAAACTAAAACAACCATGAATCTGAGTAAGGATATTAAAATTTAAATATGGTCAGAGAGTGACTAATGCTACCCTTGAAATGCAGGAATAGAATAATAAAATAGAAAGAAAATTATTAATATATAAAACTTGGAAATTTTATTAACATAAAAATATGTATTTATAGGCTTATTACATGATTATTATAATTCATATATTTTTGGTGTGTGCGGGATCTAAAAGATCCAAGCTCTATTGAGAAATCTGATGGTGATTATATCAAGAGAAATTAGGTCATGTTCATTAAACTTTAAATAGGTAGGTTCCAATAGCAGTAGAAATAGAATTAATATAAAATTAAAAAAATTTATAGGACTAGTCTAATCATATTGTATAATGTAAAGTATTTATAGGTTTATTATACATAAAATAGCCATGAAAGCATAAGTATGAATCTAAAAAAGGATATTAAAATTTAGATATGGAATGGTGGCTAATGCTACCACTTGAAATCATAAATAGAATATATAATAAAATATGAAAAAAAAATTAATATAAAACTTGAAAATTTTATTAACATACACATATGTATTTATAGGCTTATTACGATATAACTAAATCATAAAAACAATTTGTAACAAAGGAAACTAAAATATTTTTACTTACTGTTTAGCTTCTCCATGGGAGCTCTGATAGGAAACCTAATGAAGTGAATGCCGAGTTGGGAATGAGTGAGTGATGAAGCAATAATCTCAGCTGGATGGGAATTTATATATAAGAGAGAAATTGATGTTAACTTAAATCTGTTGGAAATAGAATTACTGAATTAGGAAAAAGTTTGACTCAATCCTGATATGAATAGGAAAAAGTGATAGTTGGCGCCAAATTTAGAAAATATAGCCGTCATGAACACGACAGTAGGGCAAACTAGTGACGTATGTATACATCGGCTTACATATTTTTATTATTATAAAATAAAATACGGCGTAAAAATTAACTTTGTGTACGTATTCGAATTAAAAATCAGTATTTAACTATTTATTACGGAGTATTTGATATTAGGAAAATTTATCAATTTAGTCCCTCAATTGTTAATGTAGTTCATAGTTTTCAATTTCAACAAATTTAATCATCGAATTATTTAAAAAATTTGACCGTCACTTTTTCTATCCATTATATGTCTAACTCTCTTGGGCTCTTATTAGTATATATATATATATATATATATATATATATATATATATATACACACACATATAGCCAAATCAAAGCTCAGCTCGAGCCGGCTTATTTCATAACCTAGCTGAGTTCGAGCTTCAATTTTCGAACTCAAGGTTACCTATTTTTTATTGAGCTCGAGCTCGACTCGGCTCGTTTGCACCCTTATACAGTTATACTATACACTCAATTTGTAATTAAATTATCTTTTTTTTTTTTAAATATGGCGTACCAGTATATTAATTCAGAAATTGAGTGATAGAGTCAGGAGGGATTAAATCCCAGTACATAGAATGATCCTGATCACAGGCTAAACTAGCAAGAGTATGCGCATGTAAATTTAAAGCTCTAGGAACACAATTAAGCAAACAATAAATGAAACTACCCATAGCTGTCCTACATTGCTCAATCACAATTCCAACATAGGATAAGTTCGGTGTAGTAACTGCATGAACCGCATTCCTTAAGACAAGACAATCTGGAAGAATATCCACCTCGCTCTCGTTTCGGTCTTTAAGCCAGGACAAGGCTTCCTTGCATGCTAGCGCTTCCGCCATAAGAGGAGTAAAACACCCCGGGAGCTTTCCATTTGCCGCTGCTTTGAACACACCCTCCGGACCGAGTAGAACCGCCCCATAGGTTGCATTGCCGGTGTTCGGATCGTAGCCGGCGTCGACGTGGCACGTCGCCCATCCGGCCGCCACTGCCTGCACTCCTTCGGCTGGTGTCGCCACTGGGCGGGCGTGGACTGCCGTGTAGGTCGCCTCTCCCGCAGCTGCACGACGCCACACCACCTCCGGCCTCCTTACCGCATGTTCCCAGACCGCCTCGTTTCTGGCCATCCATAAAAAATAGAGGACCCCCACAACGCGTCTGACTTGTTTGCCTGTGAGCATATCCATAACAGTCAAAAGCCAGTTCGGGAAAGACGTTGAAAAAATATTTATAATAGGCAGCCCCGAAATATTCCATACAACTCTAGAATAATCACATAAAACTAATGAGTGCATAACATTCTCATTAGCAAGACCACACAACATACATGTTGGGTTCACATCTACCCTCTTTATAATCAAATTTGTTGTGGTTGGGAGTATATCACACACCGCTCTCCATAAAAAAGTTTTCCATTTGGGTGGAACTTTCAACTTCCACAATGTAATCCATCTATCAAAATCTCCCAAAGTGTGATTAAACTCTCCCATTAGGCGCCTATAAGCATCCTTTACCGTGTAACAACCATTCGGGTCATTATGCCAATACCATGTGTCTCTATAATCTGGGCTCACAGGTATTTTTAGAATACGATCCACATCCTCAGGTTCAAATAGATCTGATAAAATATGGAGGTCCCATGTTTTTGTTTGCTAATCTATTAAACCTGCTACAACTGCATCCCTTAATGGTTCCGACATTACTGTTTGAACCAGTGGACTAGGATTATCCTGCAACCACGGATGACCCCATATTAAAGTTTCCTGGCCATTTCCAATTCTCCTTCGTACATGGGCAACAACAAAATCATGAGCAGCCATAATACTCCGCCAACAAAAACTGGAATTATTTTCCACCGTTACATCAACAAAAAAAATCTTCGGGTAGTATCTTGCTTTGTAATTAAATTATCTATTTACCTCTTCGAACTTGATTCAAAAAAGATTTAGACAAACTAAAATTCAGTTTGAGCGAGACGAATTACTTGCATAATATATAATGTGAATATTTTTCTTTTTAAAACAAAAAAAGAATAGAAATCATCAACATATGAAATCTAATTGACCAATGTAACCCTGTTCTAGATGAGGAATAAAATTTCCACCATCCTCACTCCCATTCCTTTGAAATTCTTTTGATTCCTTGACTTCAATGGATGGAGAACCAAGTTCCTCGTTGGGTACTGCATTTGGAAAAAACAAATTAATAAATGATTAATTAGATAAAAAATAAATAGTTAATAATATCCATACCATCATTTTTTTTTTGTTTATCATTATTGCTTAATCCATAATTTCCAAAGTATTATATTAGCATATTACCACAAAATCCTGTAAATTTATTTTCCATCTTGCAGCCGTCAATTCCCCTTTCTACCCTTCCACTCAACACATTGCTCAGTAGGCCTGCTCTTCTGCTTCCCAGCTTTCAACGGACACGGGGTCTGAACCGGCGGAACCATACAGTTATACTGCACGCACAACGATGACCTTATCGGAATCTCTGCCGTCGGATTGATCTCCATTCCGGTCAGGTAGTTGTGCTGTAAATACAGAATCTGTATATTCGCCGATAGTAACCGCTTCACTAAGCCGCCGGGGACTTGACCCCAGAAGCGGTTGTTGTTAAGGTATAAGCTCTGTACGGTCGAGAAAAATGGAGATATTTCACCGGAAAAACGGTTGAAACTGAGATCAACGGTCTGGATTGTCACCTGATTAACCGGCGAAATCGGACCGGAGAATTTGTTTCTCTGAAGTTGCAGATTTGTGATCGGGGAACTGAATATGATTCCCGGAATGCAGCCGGTGAACTGGTTCGAGCTTAGATCGAGATAGTTTAACCGGTTTAGCCGGGTTAGGATCCGGTCTACGGGGCCTGTGAGCCGATTCCACGGCAAAGAAAGGTACTGAAGCGAGGAAGGGAAAGCATTCGGCGGGAGTGAACCGGAAAGGTTGTTATGTCTGAGTTCGAGGCGGGTTAGGGTTTGGGAGACGAACGGAGGGACTGAACCGGAGAGACGGTTGTTACAGAGAATGACGTTGGACAACTCCGGCAAGGCTCCGATTTCCCGAGCAATACTTCCGGTGAACTGATTGAAACTAAGATCAAGCGTTTGTAGTCTCTTAAGCTGACCAATCGCCGCCGGAATCCTCCCCGACAAAAAGTTCCGGCTGATGCCTAGGAACCTAAGATTTTTCAACTGCGACAGATTTTCCGGCAATGTACCGATTATCCTCCCGGGAACCACAGTAAACTCGGCGAGAGCAGAAAGCTTACCAATAGCCGGGTCAATCCGTCCGGTTAAACCCGGCGACCCGGCAGTGGAATCCCCGAGATTCAAGGAGATAACCCTATCAGCATCGCAGAGAACACCGGGGAAATTACAGGGGTGGGAAGTGAAATCCCAGGAAGCGAAAAAGTGAGAGCCGGGCAAATCATGCATGCTTTTCCGAATGACCTGTAACGCCAAGAAATCTTGGGGGTGAAGAACGGGAAGCGCAAAACTGCAGGTAGAATAATGAAGAAGGGCGAGAGTGGCAATGAAAGATACAACACTCCTCATGGTTAGAGCTTAACCGCAGATGAAATGGCAACGTGAGACTACAATGCTATACACTGCAGATAAAGATTGAGAGGATAAATTATTTGGAAAGGGAAAGAGAGTAGGTAGGGGTTGGGTTTATAGAAAAATGAAATTGCAGATAAGTAAAGGAATTATTGGTTCTTGGTGGATATAAATAGTGATTTGGTAGCTTAGGAGAGAAGATGGCGGAAATGCAGCACTGCAACTGCAACTGCAACTGCAACTTCGAGGTGAATCTTGTGAGGGAGTTTTTCCCTTTCCCATATCCCCCGATTGAATTGGAAAATAGTTAGTGTACTCTCATTTTAAACTCTAAACTTATACTTCTTCTCACATATTTTGAATGTAAATATTTTTCTGTGGGCTCACATGATAAAAATAATCAATTCTTTGCCACCTCAGAAAATACAAATGAGGGAGTAGAATTTTTAGAGTCTATATAGTAGAACTCAATTGAATTTTGAATTCTAATATGTGTAGTCCTAACTCTTACTTTTTTTTTTCTTTTTTTTTTTTATGTGATCGACACTGAAAAGTTATTTTTTCAATTATTCTTTCAAAATGTTGAACCATAACAAGGGTCTCCCTCATCCCGATACGACAGAACATTTGGGAGGATGTAAATCATGGTAACTCAACTGAACATGAACCATAGAGGCTAGACCTTTGCTTACTGCACACAAGGAGCCCCACTCACTTTGAGATGTTGTTCCCACACTGCCGCGGGTGAGACTCGATCCTTGGTCATTCTTTCAAACTTTCACCTCTATTTTTTTTAATTATTATTGTGTGGACCACGGTTCAAAACGATGTCACCTCCTTTGTCATTTTTTTACGTGACCTGCATTTTTCTTCTCCAATTCTTCTTCCTCAATTCCACTGTCGCAATATACATTTTTATAACTAATAAAGTACATTATTCTAAAGCATAAAGTAAATTATTTTAACTAATAAAATACATGATTTTACTTTAGAAGGTTCATTAATCTAACTCATAAAATATATTATCTTACCCCAAATGTTCATTATTCTAATGCATAAGTTACATTATTCTAAACTCATAAAATATATTATCTTACTATATAAAGTTAATTATTCTAACACGTACGTCGTTATTGATTAACAGAATTATTATTATTATTATTATTGTAACGTAAAAAAGACGTCGTTTCGGATCGTGAAAAACAATTTACACAATAATTTTATTTTTTTTTATATGGACTTCAATAAAAGTGTTTGTATCAAAATTTTGAATGTAAAAATAAAAATGGACAATAGAGAATGGAAGTTCATATATAGTATTTTTCGTGGATTTTAGGGTAAGGTTCGTAAACGGTTGTCCAAGCCTATGTGGTTGTTTCCGAGCTGGAGTTGCGTAGTTGCGTGCCACACACCACGGGGTTCAGGTTTTAACTTTTTGTATAATAGTTCCCTAGTTGTAAGTTGTAAGTTTCTGATTAGAAGCTAAAGTCACTTTTTCTTTTGTCTCCTTTTTACCTAGTGTTAATTTCCTTTCTCTTTGATACATATGAGAGAATTATACTTTTTGTCCCAAAATTATAGGATAATTATTATTTATTTATTTATTTATTTTTTGAAGAGAAAAAGCATTAGATTAAGTCCGAAGACAAAGTATTACAATTGATAAATGGAGGGTTGGAAGACCACTCCGAGCAACCAGGCATAAAAACAGATTGCTTAGCTAACAAATGAGCAACCTGATTCGCTGATCGTTTAACAAAAGTGATAAACACATGAGTTAGATCACTCAAAAGATGTTAAATATCTCTAAGAATTAAACTAAAAGAGGAGTCCCCCAAGTGTGCTCAAGAGATTGGACAACTAAAAGAGAGTCGGATTCAACATGGATATTGCTGAGATTTCTTTCCTTAAGCCAGCTCAAAGCTTCTCTAATCGCCGCTGCTTCAGCTTCTCTTGGAAGATAAGTCCCTGACATTCGTGAACTTTTAGCTGCAACAAAATTGCCGAACTCATCTCTTAAGGAAAGGGTAATTATATAATTTATTCTTGAGTGTTGGTCATGTTTACTTTTCATCTTTAAGTTATCATTAGGATTGCACTTTTTATTCTTTTGTGCTCACTTTTTGTTCCTAAGTTATACTAAAAATTACAAATTTTACCCCTAATGTTTTATTATTAAAGGGATGGAAAGTACAACGTCAATGATAACTTAAAGACGAAAAGTACGTATGACCATAACTTAGGGACGAGTTTTATAATTAGCCTATAACTTAAGGATGAAAATTACATTGTTCCTTAAAATTATTGAGAAACTACCTTTTAATAGGAATGGATGGTTTTGTTAGGACGGAGTTCACCATAAGTCAATTATAGAAGTATAGAACGTGGGTAAGAAAATAGTAGTATTATAGTCCAAAAGAGTGTACAAAATTTGAGATATTGGCCCAAAATAACGGCTTAAATGATAAACATATAATACAAATTATAGCTCAAATAGTAGATTAGAAATAATAATGTTGCTGCTAGGAATTGAACACTGGTGTATGGGTTGAAGGTTAAGACTACAAACCACTAGACCATGAGGGATTGAGTGAACCAAGGGATAATCTTTAAGGGGAGGGAATGGTGCTTTATATATAGTTGAAAACTTTTCGAAGAGTTGAAAAATGTACGACATCAACTTGCTTTTAATATTGGTCATTCACGTGTCTCCCATTACTTAAATGTCAACGATCTTTCCACGATAGTTTTAGAATTGTGTCCACCTTGTAAGATAGATACCGTTTCACGATATAACAATTGTAGTTTATTCTAGGTTAGGAGAATTTCCATAAGAAAGACTATAATTGGCTTCTTAGAGTGGATCATATCCATCAAAACTTAAAAGTGTAATTGGGTTGTCAAGTCCACAACAATTCCAAGATAAAAGAAAGGAGCCCACGTCTCTAGCTACTTTCTCTATGAAAAAACCCATCGAATCTTGGACCTAAAACTCTTTATCCAGGGGACCTCAAATGGGGAGCTTTTTGGTTCCAACCTTCGTAGTAACACTGTAACAGTGAACTTTGTTCAAACCAACATTGACCATCCTCAAGCAACACGTTTAATATCAACTTCATTCTTCCATCCTCACTTTCTTCCTCACTATGCACAAAGAACTTCCCTCACTTTGAGAGGTAGCTCCCACAATATGACTTGTGAAATTTAATCTTTGATCATTTTTTTAAAATTTTACCTCTGTAATCAGTTGAGCTCCCTATGACAATCTACCAAAAAAAAATATATATATATATAAAATTGAACCAACTCACACTTACACATAAGATTCCCTCGTCAAAGGTTGTCTTTAGTGAGAGAGCTTTTCTTCAAGATCGTCGTCTCTGAATCAAATAATTAAATCCAGTACAACCAACTCAATATTCAAGTTTCGCTAGCTACTCCATTTTGGCGACCCAGATTTCCATTTCCATGAATGATCAGCGCAAAGTCAATCCTCCCCTCCCACCCACCACCGTCTCCCCCGCCGCCTCCCTCAATCCCCCGTTTCTCTGTTTCAGATTCTTACTCGCCTCCGTGAACCATAATTCCCCCGCCCCCAACTAACAAAACTGAAAATAGAATGATGCAAGTAACGATTTACATCATCTTCTTCATTATCTTCTTTAAAATCGCTTCTCCTTCCCTTTCAGTTAGCGACGTTTCACTGCAGCAACAGACCAATTCTTCTTCTTCGTCGTGTCCTCTGGATTTCGATGTTCTTCGGAGATTGGTGGAGCAGAGCTCCTCGCGGCCGACTTTGAACACTACAACGAATTGCCAGTACATCCTTCAGGGCCTCCGCCTCGTCCAGTCCGACTATCTCCGCCGCACCAACTCCTTCCTCCCGCCTTTGCTCTCGGCGCAATCTTGCTGGGACTCTTATCAGGCCGTAGTCAACGCTTTCCTCCCCGGCTTCGATATCCGCCGCCGCTGCGGCTTCGAAACCACCTGGATCTCTCAGGGTTGCATGAACATCACGACCCGACCCGAATTCGAGTCCAACGTCTCCGCCGCCGCCCTCTCCAGCGTCGTCTCCGCTTGCAATCAGTCTCTCGACAACAACTCCCCTTGCGCCACGTGTACCACCAGCCTCTCCAGCCTCTCCGCCGGATATCTCACCGGCCCTTCCATCGGCAACGTCTCGGATTGCACGGCGTACCCCTCCATTTACGCCGCCGCCTTCGCTAACCGCTTCGGCCCCACCGATAAAGGTACCGCAAAATGCTTATTCGGTCTCGATTCCTCTTCCCCCAGTTCGGGGAATGGAAAGAAAAAAGTTGTAATTCCCATTGTATCCGTGCTTTGTGGTTTGATTTTGGTTCTGGGATTTGGTTATTGGTACCTAAGGAGAAGAAAGAAAAGAAATTTTATGAAGAAATGGAGAACAACTTCTTCTAATCTGGGTTCTGCACTGGAATCAATTAGTAGCAGCACAACTCTGATTAAATTCTCATTTGATGAAATTAAGGCCTCCACCAAAAATTTCTCAAGGATGAACATAATTGGAATGGGAGGCTATGGAAATGTGTACAAAGGTGTTTTATCTGATGGCTCTGAAATAGCTGTTAAGAGGTTCAAGAATTGCTCACTAGCTGGAGATGCAAGTTTTGCCCATGAGGTCGGGGTAATCGCGAGTGTTAGGCATGTAAATTTGGTGGCATTGCGGGGATATTGTACAACAACAACGTCCTCCGAGGGTCACCAGAGGATTATAGTGTGTGATTTGATGAAGAACGGGAGTCTCCATGATCACTTGTTTGGATCATCGAGCAAGAAGCTGAGTTGGCCTATTCGACAGAAAATTGCCCTCGGGATGGCTAGGGGATTGGCTTACTTGCATTATGGGGCTCAGCCAGCCATTATTCATAGGGATATTAAGGCTAATAATATACTTTTGGATGACAACTTTGAGGCGAAAGTGGCGGATTTTGGATTGGCCAAGTTTACTCCGGAGGGTATGACACATATAAGCACTCGAGTGGCGGGGACTATGGGATATGTAGCACCCGAGTATGCCTTGTATGGGCAGTTGTCGGAGAGGAGTGATGTTTATAGTTTCGGGGTTGTGCTTCTTGAGCTTTTGAGCGGGAAGAAAGCGCTTATGGCGTTTAACGACGGGCAGCCTACGCTCGTGGCTGATTGGGCGTGGGCGTTGGTTAGGGAACGGAGAGCATTGGATGTGATTGAGGACAATATGGGTGAATTGGGGGCACCTGCCATTATGGAGAAGTATGTGTTAGTGGCAGTTTTGTGTTCTCACCCGCAATTATATGCTAGGCCAACGATGGAGCAGGTGGTTAAGATGCTGGACACTGATGTACCGGTTCCAATGATACCCGAGAGACCGGTTCCATTGATTGCAGGCATTGAAGATATTGAGAGATCGGTTAGCAGTAGTGGGTCTGGCTATCTTTCTACATCTGCTGGCTACCAACCATTCGAGGGAAATAGCCCTAAAGCCCCGGGGGGAGATGGTGAAGATTCTGTTGGCAGAAGAGAATGATTCAAGTCTAGTTTGCAGCTTCCTTCTATTAAATTCTTGATGATTTTATTGTCTCACTCTTTGGTTGGTTTACATCAAACTTGAGACATATTTACTCAGTTAAATCAATGTACGTTGGTTCTTCACACATGTAAATAAGCTTATATTTGATCGACAGCCTCAAAACCTTGGGGAAGAGATAAAAGTGTGAACTTGCAATCACCCACCATTAGGTAGCTTGTGGCAATCCAAATACTGGACTTGGTATCAGTTGCACAGCACAGATGTACTAATGGAAGGTAAGCTGACATATCATTGAGATTTTGTTCAGTAGCAGATGACTGTACTATTGATTTTGTGTTACAATGTAATATCTGTTCATACAGACATGGGGTTCGAAGAGCCACAGTTATGTCGCTTGACCACAAGGTCTTTTGTACTCCGTGATTGATATCTTTATCCAATTATCCTGATGCCTGAGCTAATATGCTTTGTGCAAAGTGAACTGTTTCATTCTTGGCTGTTCTTTTACGCTCTCAAGACAGCTATCCATTTGCTACTCGAATAATACTCATGTCTAATGATAATGTTGATGAAATTACTTAAGTATTTCAATGCATTTTTGGATATATAGATGTTTTCCACTATTTCTCATGTGGTTTTAGGCTAATGGGTGGCTCCATCTGATATTTGTTAGTGGTATACTTCTAATCTCCATCTGCGCATTCCATCACTGTTCATAGCCGCCGGAAAGTACCGCCTGGTACACTAAAGCAGTCTGACAATCCTTCTGGATGCAAACTGTTACGTGCATAGAATTCAAAGCCCACACAATCATTATACTCCCTAAAATCAAGGACAAGATATATATACAATAAAGATTTTAAATCATAATGTTAGGACTATATTGTTTGTATTCTAGTACGACTCTTATGTTGTTCTTATATTTACATTATGTTTTATTCTCATTAATGATATTCAGATAATTTAATCCTCATCTGGTATAGTGTTTCTCGCTTTTATCATGGTAGTGTATGCTTCGGTTTTCCCTGACAGTTTTGTTGGTGTTTATTCTTAATGGACCGTCTCCGAGGCTGCTGCATCGATCCCTATTGTGGCCAGTTAATTCGTTATCTTCCGCACATCACTTTGTCTTGATCAAACTCACCGCCTGTAATTACTTTTTTTTTTTGGCGAACTCAACCGCTCCCGTTCCCGTTCTTGCGTGGATAAGGCTTATTAGGGTTTTTGGGCAGAACCCTTCCTTTCCCAGAGACAACGCTGGTTCACTCCTCCGACATTGCTGCTTCATCTGGTTCGTTGGTGATGTCGCGGGCTGCCTAGCTTCAACAAGACCATGCCATATTACCGATGCTAATCTCTTCCATGTTCAAGGAGATCATGCATCTTGCAGTGGGGAGGTCTACATCCATTTAGCTATGGCCGTCGATTGAACAGTGTCTGGGGTCGACGACTAGGGCTCGGGCACCTCCTCGGCCAGCTGCAGGCTCTCCGGCGAGGGGATGCATCCATTGCAGATTACCTTAGACGGGCACATGTGTTGATCGAAGACTTGGCGTTAGCAGGTAGACCAGTCAGTTTAGATGACCAAAATTTGTACGCTTTTCGGGGGCTGAGGTCGAAGTTCCGGCTGTTGGCGGCTACGTTGACGACAGGCGAACCGGTGACCTTGACGGAGTTGTCTGACTTCCTCGTCACTCAGAAATTTATTTGTGCGGAGGATGGAGCTGGTCCGGCGGCAGACATGTCATTGGTTGCCCCTCGTTATCGTGGATAGACACAACATCGTAGAGGTGGCCGCGGGCGGTGGTAGCGCAGTCGTGGGCGTGGTAATCGTTCTCGGTCCTCCGGGCTTCGTTGTCAAATTTGTAACGGTCAAGGCCACTCGGCTTTGACTTGTTTTCACAGGTACTCGGCTCTATGGCTTATTCAGCTGGTGACGTTGGTTCGCATCACTGGTTCCCTGATACTGGAGCAATGAACCATGCCACACCTGATCCATCTGTGATGTCTTCTGCTGCTGGCTACAATGGGCCTAACACGTTGCGTGTCGGTGATGGAACATGTTTGCCTATTGTTAGTGTTGGTTCTGTTTTGGCAGCCACTAGGTCTAGGTGTTTTAAATTGTTTGATGTATTACATGTTCCTGACCTCGTTCATAAATTTGCTCGAGATAACAATGTTTTATTTATTTATTTATTTATTTTAATTTCACCCTAGCTCCTTCTTTGTGAAGGATCTTTCAACCAAGGCGGTCCTGTATAAAGGTAGCACTTCAGGGGGTCTTTATTCTTGGCCCGTTTCAAATGTTGGTCCTGCTGCATTAGCTGCTGCTCATACTTCTTCACGATGTGACATAATCGGCTTGGACATCCACATCTTCGTGTCTTGCGTCAGATTTTAGATTGTTGTTCTATTAGTTCGTCTCTTTGTTTTGCTTGTCATGTAGGGAAAGCCTCTCGGTTTCCTTTACCTCGTATTGAACGTTCTAGTTCGCATGTTTTAGAATTAATTTATACAGATATCTGGGGCCCATCGCCTTTACTTTTTGTTAATGGCTTTCGTTATTTTGTGTTGTTTGTGGATGATTACACTTGATATGTTTGGTTCTACCCTATGCGTGCAAAAATTGATTTATATTCCATTTTTTATCGTTTTCGCTCTTTAGTTGAACGTTTTTTTTTTCTCGCAAGATATTGTCTGTTCAGTCTGATTTAGGGACAAATTATGGATAAATTAAATCTAGACTCTCCATTTAGAGGGAGTGATTTTGTGTTCATGTGATGTGTGTGTACATTGTAAACTTGGCGTGTGTGCACTATAGTACATATGCGTGCACATTAGCTTGTAGTGATGCATGATGTGTATGCGTGCATTTTCATGTAAACGTGTGCACAATTTTAGAGTGTGCACGGTGTAATGTATGAGTGTGGCGTGTGTGCACATGATTCTGGCGATATTCTATGGTGCACACAATGTTGTGCACGAGTGCATATAGTCGCCTAGCTAGAGCACATAACAACATCACGTGTTTGTCTCGTTAAATTAAAGCAACGAACATTAACAAAATAATTATATTTTTTATATTTAATAATAATAATAGTAATTTATTATTTAAATGAAATGAGTTAATTCCATTTTTTATCTTAGATTTATTGGTTGCGGACTTACAGTTCACTTTTAGTTTTTTTTTTTTTTTTTTTTTTTTTTTTCAAAACATCATCTTTGATCATAGTATTATTGTGACATGACTATTTTTTATCATCTACTTAAACATGACCAAGGTTCCGACTTCCGAGTCCTCAAATGGCCAAACTGGATTCCGGTACTTTATATATATAAAAGTTTTAGATTCATTGTTTTAAAATATAACTTTAATTATTAAGTTTAAGGTTAAAAGATCCGAATCTTGCTTACAAAATTCAAATACGACACTACATGATCCATTGATTGGTTGTGAAAATGAGATTCCAATGCAAGTTGCCATAGTCACATCAATACATGCATCATAATGTCTCCTATACGAAAAGGATCCCATTATGAGCATCTCCCCTAGTCTTTTTTTTTTTTTGGGTCAATGAGTAGTCTGAATTTGTTCATATTATAATTAAGGGATGCAGTTGTTGTTGATATACAAGTTGGTATTACTTTAAATGTATTTTAGGCAACAAATCATTTAACATGGTGTCATATCACCCCCACACTCGGGCCCAACAGCTTTTCTTTTTGTCTAATTCACTTTCTTTTCTTTTGTCCTTTTTCCTGTGTAAGTTTGGGGAATACCCCCATTCATAGGTCCGTAAACTCCTTACTTTGAGAGACTGTGGGTGTCGCTAGTGAGACTCGATCCCTGATCATTCTTCCAAAGTTTCACCTCTATGACCAGTTGAGCTACCCATGCGGGCGTAATAACATGGTGTGATATCATATTGATATATATACACACCTAACCCTCAGAGACACAACACCAACATCTTCAATACCAATCATATAAAGACAAAAATAACAATAATAAAACCGTTACCTAAGTAGCTGGAAGATGCAATAGACACCAAAGTAGACAAATAAATTTGGACCAATCATAATTTCTGCAGTCTGAGCACTAATATCTTAATATATATGCCACACTTCTCAGCAAATCAGTATCTTTTTATGAACTCTTTTCCTTTTTGTCCTTCTCTCTGCACCTAAAGGCTAAAACTCCCCCTTAGCTTATTGGTACACTGACTGGGTAGTAGTGGTTACTCTGATCTAAGGGCATGGATATTAAGCAAGATGATGTTGAAAGAGGTGAGAACAGTGTGGCAGAAGCAGATATGATAGCCCCACTCATTACTCCAAAAAAAGAAGGATATGGAGGTGGTGAAAGCAAGGAAGAAAGATGGTTGCTTTACTTTTCTACAATTGTTGCAGTGTGTGGTTCATATTCATTTGGATCTTGTGTAAGTTCATTCTGCACTATACTCTAAAAGCTTCCCTTTTTCTTCATTACATTAATCTCTGGTTTCTTATTTTTCTTTCAGGCAGGCTATTCATCACCAACACAATCTGCCATCAGAGAAGATCTAAACCTATCCCTAGCCCAGGTTTGTCTGAACCACACTAAAAGACTGAATCTAATCAATTAACTAGTCTAACCCATGACCTTATAAACCCATATGTTCTCTCTTATTTTTTTTTCTATGAGGGACTCTTTAAAAAAAGAATAACAATATTGTATCTGTGTTTGTGTAGTACTCACTCTTTGGCTCCATTTTGACATTTGGTGCTATGATTGGAGCAATAACCAGTGGACCAATTGCTGATTTCATTGGTCGCAAAGGGGTGAGCGCCAGATATTGCATTTCAGATTAAATGGAATGATGTGTTTCGTCACAACTAAAAGACTAAGCCGATAGTTGAACTATACATTTATTATTTATATATATTATGCTCGACATAACATTGCTTTCAGTCCATGCATGATTAGAATTTTTATTTACTTTTCCTGATATGTTCCATCTGATGCAAAATGCAAATTACAGGCAATGAGAATGTCGGGCGCCTTCTGCGTGGCAGGATGGCTGGCCATTTATTTTGCTAAGGTCTGTCTGTCATTGCACTCTGATCTCTCAAGTTTAATTTTATATTCAAAACAACAAAATGTAAATTGACTGCAGAGTATATATATATATATATATATATATATATATATATATATTTAATATTTTGTTCCTAAGGGGGCTGTGCTTATGGACATTGGAAGGTTGGCAACAGGATATGGAATGGGAGTGTTTTCTTATGTGGTACTCTCTCTATCACCATATTCATGTTCTTAATTTCCTAGGATACAAAACCTTAGCTTATATTATCCCATTGCTTTCTTGTTGAAATAAACCGCTAAACAGGTACCTGTGTTTATAGCTGAAATCGCGCCAAAAGATTTACGAGGATCTTTGACAACATTGAATCAGGTGAAATAAGACACCTAACTATTTTTAGCAGATTTTAGTTTTAGTAGTGTTTAATGTTCATTCATGTGTATGCTACAGCTTATGATATGCACTGCAGTATCTGTTGCCTTCATTTTAGGGACAATTCTGAGTTGGAGGGCTTTAGCCCTAACTGGTTTGTCTTCTTAACATTAATCAATCTAAATCATATTGTTACTGAGAATTATTGAAGCAAAATAACAAGAGATGCTCTATTGTTTTATGTTCATATATGCAGGGATAATCCCATGTGCTATTCTTGTTATGGGCCTCTTTATCATTCCAGAATCTCCTAGATGGCTGGTGAGAAAGATAATATAACTCTACCAACAACTTTCTCCACTTCTCTATAGTTGCAAGACCAGACAGAAAAGTTCTGTTCGGATCAAACGCTTACTACTACACCAAAAGTTGTAGTTCATGGTGAAGATGCAACTTTATTTCTTTATCTACTGCCACATTTTCGAGAGGCAGGGTTATGGACTTGGGAGTTAGGGCCACATTTTTCAGCACCCTGCCTTTCGAAAATGTGATGGTAGATAAGGAAATAAGTTGCGCCTTTGCTGTGAGGTATATCTTTTAGCGTAATGATAAGCGTTTGATCCAAACAAGTTGAGATAAAATGTGTTTCTATCTGTAGGCAAAGATTGGGCATCAGAAGGAGTTTGAGAATTCACTACGTGCACTTCGAGGCAAAGATGCTGACATTTCTAAAGAGGCAGCTGAAATCATGGTTCATACTCTACACTAAAGTTCCATATTATATTTCTAAACATACAATTTCCAGCATGCAATGTATTCTCATTATATTATGTGATTCCATGGCAGGATTACATAGAAACCCTTGAAAAGCTCCCAAAAGCCAAATTGCTAGATTTGTTTCAAAGAAGATACTTGCGCTCAGTCACTGTATGTTTCCTTAGCTTGTTCTCAATGCATTTTTATTTTACATGCAACAACAGGCTCTTTTAGGGTGTGTTTGGAAACCTGAAAAATGAGTTCTGGAAATCATTTTCCAAGTTTCCAGTGTTTGGATGTGCCTGAAAAATCAAGTCAACGGAAATCATTTTTCATTGACTTTGGAAAATAGGCTTGTTTTGGAGGAAAATGACTTCCCCTTTTTTTGGGGGGAAGTCATTTTCCAACTTTTACACCAGCATCACACCACCACCAACATCATCAACACCATACCACCATCACCACCACTATACCCCCGCCACCATCACACCACCACCACAACCACCACCAACACCGCAACCACTACCACCACCACCACCACCAGCCTACCACCGCCACCATCGCCGCCGCCACCACCACCACATACCACCGCCACCACACCACCACCTTCACATTACCGCCGCCGCCACCACCACCACTATACCACCGTCGCCGCCACCACTACCACCATACCACCGCCACCGCCATCACCACCATACCACCGCAACCACCGCCACCATATCACCGCAACCACCACCACCACCATACCACTACAACCACTGTCGCCGCTACCATCGCCACCACCACCATACCACCACAACCACCATCGCTGCCACCACTACCACCATACCACCGCCGCCGCCATCACCACCATACCACCGCCACCACCACCACACCACCGCCATCACACCGCCACCGTCGTCACCGCCACCACCACCACCATACCACCGCAACCACCGCCGCCGCCACCACCACCATACCACCGCAACCACCGTCGCCGCCACCACCACCACCACCGCAACCACACGACCACTGCCACCACCGTCATACTACCACCACCATCACACCAACACCACTAACATCGTCGCCGCCACCACCAGCATACTACCGCAACCACCGTCGCCCCTGCCACCACCATACCACCGCAACCACCATCGTCGCCACCACCACCATACCACCGCCACCACACCACCACCGTCATACCACCACCAATTATTATTATTATTATTATTATTATTATTATTATTATTATATAACGAATAACACCACTACCACTACACCACCACCACCACCATAATATTTTGATATATTATTAGTTTTTTTTTTTTTTTTTTTGAAAAACTTAGCTATTTTTTATTATATTTAAAATTAATATTATATTATTATATATTATTATACATGTTGTAATATTCTAAATAAAATAATTAAAATGTTTAATTATACAATTCTACTCATTTTCCAGAAAATGAACCAAACACAGAAAAACAGTTTTCCATAATGCAACCAAACACTGGAAAGGAAAATGTTTTCCGGAAAATGACTCATTTTCCAGAAAACATTTTCCAGAAGTCATTTTCCTGCTTTCCAAACGGACCCTTATTGTCAATTTAATTCATGGTCAGATCGGGGTTGGACTAATGGTGTGCCAACAATTTGGTGGAATTAATGGAATCTGTTTCTACACCAGCAGTATATTTGAATCCTCAGGTACCAATCTCTAACCTATGATCAATCTCAACTTGCTGGGCAGAGGCCGATGAAGGGTCAAGTCCAACACCATGTGATTAGACGGATTGTTGGGAAGTCCAGCACCTTATCTCTTGAATCACCTGTCAATCTTGATTGCACAGTTTTTGCTCTGTGATCTGACACGAATACCATTTGTTAGGATCAAGTGCTTACACTATGTCAAAAATTATAGACAGTAGCGAAAGCACAATTTTATTTCCTTATTGACCGCTGCATTTTCTAGAGGCAGGTGCTAGACATGACCCGCCTCTGTCTAACAATCCTCTAACCACCCATTGTTGGACTTGATCCTTCACTGGTTTCTACCGAACTTGGCCCTTCACTGAACTTTGCCCAACAATGCATATAACTACATTTCCATTTAGAAGTTCAAATGCTTCACGATATCACCATATATTTCTTTGATTTCATTCCAGGGTTCCCTTCAGATGTTGGAACTATAATCTATGCGATTCTTCAGGTTTCAACCTTACTCTGGCAGATCTGTGGAAACTAGATAACCATTCTCAATTTCACCTAACCTTTTTTTTTTCCTTGGATAGGTTATAATCACTGCATTAGGGGCAACCTTAATAGACAGAGCCGGAAGAAAGCCTCTATTAGTGGTATAACTAGGAACATATCAGAATGCCATTAACTTAAGAATGTGTTTCATGAAATAGAGGCTAATTTAAAGCTTTTCTTTTTGCAGGTTTCTGGGTCAGGACTTGTCATTGGCTGTGCACTGACAGGCATCTCATTCTATATGAAGGTGAATGTTAAACAAAAATGCATTTCCCCAAATTTTCTTTTGATTAGAGTAAGGTTATGACGGAAAAAGAATCTTTGTTCTGAATCAGGGACATGAAATAGCTGTCAATGCATCACCATTACTTGCTGTAACAGGGATACTGGTACTGCTTCCATCTTTTATGTGTCGAAATCACCCCTAGTTCAATAAAGATTTCATTCTTAAAAGAGGTCTATGAATACTTGAATCACTAATAATTTGTTGGGCGGAAGCTCGTGAAGGGGCAAGTCTAGTAATTGGTGGTTAGATAGAGGGATTGTTAAGCAGAGGCCCGTGAAGACTAAGTCTAGCAATTGGTGGCTAAGAGAATTGTTAAACAGAAGTCAGTGAGGGGCCAAATTCAGCAATTGGTGGCTAGGGGGATTATTAGGCGGAGGCCGGTGAAAGACTAAGTCTAGCAATTGGTGGTTAGGCGGAGGTAGATGAAGGGTCAAAGTCCAATAATTGGTGACTATGAAATTATTGGGCGGAGGCTGGTGAAGGGCCAAGTCTAGCTATATGTGGCTAAGCGGATTGTTAGGCGGAGGCCAACGAAAGGGCAAATCCAACAATTGGTGGCTAGGAGATTGTTTGGCGGAGGTCAATGAAGGGTCAAGTCCAATAATTGGTGACTAGGAAATTGTTGGGTGGAGGCTGATGAAAGGCCAAATCCAACAATTGATGGTTAGGGGATTGTTGGGCAGATGCCAATGAAGGGCCAAGTTTAGTAATTGGTAAATAGGGGATTGTTGGGCGATATATAAGAAAATAAAGTTACGCATTGACTACGAACTATATATAACTTTTGACGTACTGATAAGCGTTTGATCCTAACATAATTGTTTATGAAATTCAGGTGTACATCGGATCATTTTCAGCAGGTATGGGGGCAGTCCCATGGGTAGTGATGTCTGAGGTAACATGCAAAATCCACAACTAACCTTTGTTCATATTCTAACTACCTTTTCACATTATCTTAAGTCTAGTTTGTTTGTGTTCCATCCAGATATTTCCTATAAATATTAAAGGGGTTGCTGGAAGCCTTGCAACACTAGTGAATTGGTTTGGTGCATGGTTATGCTCCTACACTTTCAACTTCCTCATGGAATGGAGCTCTTTTGGTAAAATCTCATAAGGATATGTTAGAAATGAAAACTCAATTCTATTCTTGGATTTGCACTAACTATATATGTGGATTTTCATGGTTGATTGCAGGTACTTTTTTTCTGTATGCAGTAATCAATGCCCTTGCCATTTTATTCGTGATCAAGATAGTACCCGAAACCAAAGGAAAAACCTTAGAACAAATACAGGCCGCTATCAATGCATGACATCTGATCTATTCTTTCCTTTTTCTTTTCAGTAGGAAATTGAAGAGGAAGATTATTCGTAGGGATGAATGATAACTTTGTATGTCATGTACTAGTATATTTATAATAAGAAAGATAATCATTTCACAAACTTTAAAAGAAGTGTTTTCATTTTTCAAATGTTAGATTAAATCGTGACAATCTTAGCCATTAATTGGTATGCATATCTTTCCAACACATATTCCAATAAAAGATATTATATCCCATCACAAACTTTATGAGGAGTGAATATGATATCACAAACTTTAACATAAATGTTTTATTAAATCGCAACCTATCTTTCAAACACATATCTCTATAAATACTACTCTCGAACTTTGTCTGGCTTTTTTGTCCTCCTGCATAAAGATATTCTGAATTTGTTTTTGTGCAATACTCACTCTTTGGCTCCATTTTGACATTTGGTGCAATGATTGGAGCAATAACAAGTGGTCCAATTGCTGATTTCATTGGTTACAAAGGGGTGAGCCGGAAGATATTGCACCTTTTTCACCTAAATACTTAGTAATAGTAATGTATTTACGAGGAGCTGAGTTTTGGCAAAATTACATCTAACTCTCAGCACTTGAAAACAGGAAACACAGTTGCAAAGCGTATCTGCAAGATTTGAAGAATAATAATAGGAAAATGACAATATTTTTTTTAGCAGATCTTGGATTTGCATCATATTCAAAGGAACTGTTTCTGGTGGTTTCTCACTGTTATGCATTAGTTGTTATTCATTCATACTTGTAAGTTTCATTGTTTGGTAGGTGAAAAATAAAATTACTCAGAATATTGATTCCATTGTTCGGTTGGATTTAGAGCATCCATAGTAGTGTAGTTTTTTGGTGGTTTTTGAGGAGTTCTTGTGAGTGTAATTAGGGAAGAGAATATGGGATGGAATAAAAAAAAAAAAGAGAAACAAAAATAAACCTGATTTTTTTATTAAAAAAAAGGGGTACTATCAGCGCCGGTAACGCGCCCGTGCCCTGCGCAAGTTTTGCTGTGGATCCCACATCTCTGAAAAAATCAATACCTTGCAGAGTGATCTTCGAATAGTTATGCTGTGCATCTGTATGCACCATGCATGGTGCATACAGATGCAAAAACGACGTCGTTTTATTAAAAACGCGCGTCTCCCCTTTAAAAAAAAAAATTCAGGTTCGATTCCTAGTAACAACATTATTTTGTTCATTCATTATGGAATTTTAGTTCATGGATTATGGAATTTTAGTTCATCGATTATGGAACTATAGTTCATCGATTCTGGAATTATAGTTCATCGATTCTGAAATTTTAGTTCATAGATTCTGGAATTTTAGTTCATTCATTCTGAAAATTTTAGTTCATAGATTAGATTATGGAATTATAGTTCATCAATTATGGAATTATAGTTCATCGATTATGTAATTATAGTTCATCGATTATGGAATTATAGTTTCGAACCTAATTTTTTTTTTTTTTAAAGGGGAGACGCGCGTTTTATAAAAACGACGTCGTTTTTGCATCCGTATGCACCATGCTTGGTGCATACGGATGCACAGCATAATTTGCCGTGATCTTCAACCTTCTCTCTCTTACCCCTCTCTCCTCCATGTTGGCACTCTATTTTTTAAAATCCGTGAATAACTCACAGGTGTGGATGCTAGAATTGTTAGAAATAATAAGTATAAAGACCTATATATGCCTACAAAATAATAAAAGTAATAAAAAAAGAAAGAAAGAACAAGAATGGGCAAAATAGTCAAATCATCTCATTTTTCTTCCCAACTTACATGAAAAACAAAATCTCATGTCCTACCAAAGATTTTGTTTTCCTCAAATGTCAATGAATTTCATAAACTAAACACCAAAAAATAACATTTTCCTCCACTTTAAAGAAAATGCTTTCTGTGGAAAACTTTTCCATCCAACCAAACATCCCCTAAATTGTTATTTAAAGTTTAAACTCTAATCAAATAATAGTTAAACTGTAATCAAATAATTTTATTTAAACATTAATTAAAATTTATTTTTTAATTTTTTCGATTTGGAACAGAAACCCTTTCTTAATAGGAATTGATCGACTGTACGGTTCGGTTCGAACCAAATCGTGATTATACCTAACCACAACTGGAGGAAATGGAGAGAAAAAGACTTGCAACTTGTGTGTAGGGCGCACTGCATACCTTTTTTTTTTGTTTTTTGTTTTTATTTTTTGTTTTGGGTTGTTAGCCTTTCTTTTTCCTCTTCTCTCCATCTCTTTCCTACATGTCATGCACTGCAAAACCACAAAGAAAATTTAACATTGTTAAGGTTGCTCTAAAAGTGTATTTCTTGAGTTCTTGATTGCAATCTTTCCTTCCGGGGACCATGGACTTTAATGAAAGTTGATATCAACACATCATGTTTCCTTTATCTCAAATGGATCCCCTTTAGGGTGGAGTTGTCCATGCCCTGTCTGGAATTATTCACATTATAATGGAGGGTGGTTGTTGAACAAGTTGGTATTGCATTAAATTTTATAGGCAACAAACCATTTAACTTAGTGGCATATTGATGTTCAAACACAATCTTGAATGTTAGAGCATCATCATCAGTGCATTTTTCATGATTTTTGAAACAATAACAAACTAAAGGTTTAGTTTTTAATAAATGTGGAGATTGATTTTTTGTTCGGTAAATAAAGGTTTTTATTAGGCCTGCTAGGTGAGAGAAAAGAGGTGACAAAGTCATAAATTTGCCCGTGGAGTGCAAGAATTGCGCCCAGTAAGCGCGTGCACGCACCTACTAGGCGCATTTGTAGCTTGAATGTTTTTCAGGATATATATATATAGTCCGCCCTTTTTTTCCTTTTTTTCTTGCCTTCCTTTCTCTTTCCTAATAACACTTCAAACACCGTGAAAAAACATTGACTGAAGAGGATGCTATTATGGGGAGGAGCCAGTCCACATTCAAGATGAGTAGGACCAAAGTTGACAAACAAATGAATTGTCTCTGCTTCAAAATATAAATGAATGCCATTAATTTCCGTAAAGTTGGCTTGCTTTTAGACATTGGCAACACCATTGTTGCTTCCTCAGTGCCACACCTTTGCATTTGAAAGTCTTCTCAGCAAATCAGTAGCACTTCATATACTTCACATTTAGAAGGATTCCCTTTGCTGTGGCATTCATACCTTTTGGGCTTTCTTCCTTTTATCCTATCCTTCTTTCTGCATGTAAAACTCCTAATTGATACACTGACTAGTTACTGATGCCCGGAGAAGTGAGAACGACGAGGAAGAAGCAGATGTCGGGTCCCCATTCATCTCTCCAGAAAAAAGATGGATATGGAGGTGGTGAAACAAGGCAAGAAGAAGATGGATGATTTGCTGGCTCTTATGCATTTAGATCTTCAGTAAGTTCACTCTAAACTTTCCTTTTTCGGGTAGTCATTTTGTTCATGATCAAGATTGTTAGGCGGAGGTCAGTAAAAGGCCAAGTCCAACAATTGGTGGCTAGGAGACTGGTGAAGGGCCAAATCCAGCACCTTGACTCTCGAAAATGTGGCGGTCTATAAGGAAATAAAGTTGCGTTTTCGCTGTTAGCTATAACTCTTGACGTAGTGATAAGCGCTTGATCCTAACAACGATAGTGCCCAAAATCAAACAACTTCGGAAGGAATGGAATACAAACATGAAGTGGAATTGTATCAGAATACAGTCGATGCACACTCGAGCAAATTGTTAAATGTGTTATAGCAGTGTATCACAACAATTCCATATACTATTTGAGATTTATGGATACTTTACCTCTTCAGTTTCTTTCTGGAAAAGAAAAAGGTAAATAGGAGTGAAAGATTAGTAATGCTTTACAGACCAATACAGAGCAGTGAAAAAACAAAACAAAACAAAAATTTTCCATTAGGAATGTTATGTATGTATTTTCCATAAACCCTTTGAAGAATTAGGATCTGTAATCTTTACAACTTTCTTCTTGGCTGGCCGCTTGTTACTGCTATCAACACATTGCTGACGCTCCTCCTCCTCGTCTACTTTAACCACGTCAACTTTCACTATGTGATGATCCGAAGTTCCCTTGGAAGAGAGAACCGAGTAGGATCCTTGCACAAACTTGAACGACGAATGTGGTGAAGCCAGTATATAATCCACTCGTGTTCCATACTTACATGTTCCCTGTACACCTGCATTTTCAAAGCATCACGTTATAGTGGTGTATTGAAAATATAAGAGAGAAAATATGGGTTTATAAGGACATGTGTTAGACTAGCTAATTGGTTGAATTCTAGAAAGTTGCCATACTCTGTCCTTTGGCAATCACGACGACAGACTCACATTCGCCGCCAAAATCTTTGGCATCAGCGTACTGTTTAGTCTTTAAGTGCTTCATCACCTCAACTTTGGGAGTTGGCTTTCCCATCTCTTCATAGTACTGGAAATTGCAGAATGAAAATTTTCATCAGATCATTATCATTTATTTACTGAATTACTGCCCATCTCTCAGGTAAAGAGGGTTGGTTTACCTTAACAATTTCTGCCCATCTCTCAGGTGAATAATCCGTTTCATCGAGTGAATTTAGACCTCCAGCTAAAAGGTGGGGTGTGTCAGCTGACTGGATTATGGCATTCATCTGCTTCATTCTCCAGTTTTCATCTAAATGGTCAAGATGGGTGCAATACAAGTCGAATTCGCCTACTTGAGGAACCTCGATTTTCGCCTTTAGGACATTCCTGCAACACAAATTTTCTTTTAAAGTTTTAGAGTCTCTAGTCCGTCAAGAATTGGGTGTGCTAGGATCAAACGTTTACCACTACGCAACGAACTATAGCTGCTGACATATTGATAAACGCTTGATCCTAACAAATGGTATCTCTTGTGCGAACAAGAACTGTACAGTTAAAAGCTGGCTAAGGGAAGCCCTTAATCATAACAAAGATGATAAGTTTTTAAAGATTAAGCGCTTATCACTATACCAAAAACTATAACTCGTAGCGAATGTGTAACTTTATTTTCTTATACCCTACACATTTTTGAAAGACAGGGTGAGGGTGATGGACTTGGCCTTTATTTATTTATTATTTTTTTTTTTTGTCAAAGCCATGAGGTATCCTAAGCAGATCCTAACTGTAAGAGGCCCCTTTAAGCCCGTGCTGACCCAATTAAAAGGCAAAGTGCTGGTCAGATTGATTTTTCCATATGAGAGAGGGTTAAACTCCGGCCCTCTCTTAAGGAAGAGGGATGAGAGTGGACGGCCACTCACGCCAACCAAGCTGGTTAAGACTTAGCCTTTATTGACTTCCACTAAGAATTCCCAAGTCACAAGGTGCTGGACTTTGGTTTTTACCTGCCACCGCCCAACAATCCTCTAGTTACACTATGTTGGACTTGACTCTTACTCGTCACCGTCCAACAATCTCTTAGTCATGTGATGTTGGACTTGACTCTTACCGGACTTCGCCCAACCTAAGTGCAATGCAATGTGAGGAAGGAAGGATAAAAGAGATAAAGAACCTGAAATCAGAGTCATCAAAGATCTTTTGGGCCTTCCAGCTCTTAATAGGCCACTTGGACAAGATGGCATTGCCATACTCCGGAGCCCAGCTCTCTGCAAACACATAATTCATCCCCAAACCGGCAGCCAAATCTGACAATGGCTTCATCCCTTTCTCCTCCTCCGCCTTCACGCCTTGCAGCGCCACCACATCCGCCTCCACCTCTCTCAACACCTCCAAAATCGTCCTCCTATTTCCATAAATCTCGCCGCCATTCTTTCCACCGGCGGCCTTCCCCCTGCTCCTACTACTCGTCCTCGAACTCTCCTTTTCATTCTCGAGAAAGCTCAACTGCCCACTCTTCTTCAGGGAGATTTCATTGTCCGGCAAATTAATCGAAACCCGTGGCTTCGATTTGGCCGCGAAGACATCATTCTCTCTTCGGGCCATGGAGTTGAGACGCAGGGAAGACTGCTTCAGAATGCCCTTGGGCCGACTGTCCATGGAGTTTGATCTCAGATGGGTATGGGAGTGGGTGTAGTCTTCATCTCCGAAATCAAAGCTGGCTGATCTTCCAGACCTCGGAACCGCCGGCGCCATGGAGAAGAGGGCGGCATTGAAGGTGGCGACGCGCAAGGCGGGACGAATGGCGGCGGAGGAGGCGGTGTGAGCTGGGTTGGAATCGGATTTGAGAAATGTTTTGACGACGGCGGCGTTCTTGGAACGGCGGCGAAATGAGCGGCGGAGGCCATGGAAGAGGCGCTTCAGTTTCTTTCTGAGTATTCTGAACATTGGGACCAGAATATGATGAAAAGGTTGAATCAAGAAATCATTATTCCTTGGAGATAATAACATGAAAATGAAAAGGAAAAAGGAAGTGGACTTTTCTGTGGTTGTCACACTCAGATGTCACTTTTTGTGCGTTAGCAATGAAATATGAATGAATTATTATTACTATTAACTAATCACCACCAAATTCAATCAAATCATTTGTTTATTAAAGAGTTTGGTTTTGATTAGGGAAGATGGAGAATTTGCAGGCCGGAGAAAACAGATACCCATTTGTCTGCCCGAGTTTAGTAAGTACTCCGTAGTATACTAGTATCTATGGGAAGAGATTAATGTTCAAAACTTGACAATAACAATAGCATTTGACTCTATCTGCTGAGTTACTGAGTTACCGTGATTTACATTCTCTCAATACTAACAAATTATTATGTCAGTTAATAACCAAAATGGTCCATCGACTATGTCGTAATTACCAATTTAGTTCTCGACTACCATTCTTACCCAATTAAGTCCTCAACTATTCAATTTAGTCCTCTGTTAATTTGACTATTTGTTAACCGTCAAAAGTGGGGATAAAGTTATAATTTTACAAGCTTTCTCTTTCCTCCTCATTTAGCAGTGTCAAATCATGCAGCTTCCAAACATGTCAGTGTCGAAGTAGTGATTGTGCATTGAATTGATTTTCAGCAATTTTTTGACTATCGAAAGCCGATCGGAGCGTATTGCTGCATGGTTTGACGTTGTTAAATTAGGAGGAAGGAGAAAGCTTGTAAAATTACAATTTCATCCCCTCAGTCAACAAATAGTCAAATTAACAGATGACTAAATTTGGTAAAAATTACATAGTTGATGACTTAATTAGGTAAGAATGATACTCGAGGACCAAATTGGTAACTACAACATAGTTGAGGGACCATTTTGGTTATTAACTCTTATTATGTGGATCACCATTCACACTATGTTGTGTGAATCATAATAAAAAGTACTTAAAAAAAAAAACTCAATTTATTAAGTGCATGGCAAGAATATCATGAACAAAATAATGTATTTTCTTTGAATATAATGTACATTTTTAATATACTAAAAATCCATTATTTGTATACTGAATGTACATTATTTGATAGCATGGTACACACAATAATAATTACTTAATACTCTGTCAGACCAGAGTGTGGAGCATTGAAGATTCAATCTTAGGAGAAAGAACAAAGAACAAATTCCCATTTGGTGTTTTCCCCTCAACTAAACTCTTGAAAAAGTAATTGAATAATTTGCTACTTAAATTAATAAACATATTTGATGTTATTTAGAACATATAAAAATATTTTCTCTCTACCTAACTCAGATCTTATAAAGACTAATGATTATTATAAAAGCAAATGGTTCTTGGCCTGCATTTTAACTGCTACGGGAAGATTGGTTATTTGACGCCGGATCTGGTTAGCTTTTAGATTAAAGAAATAATTAAAGAAAACAGAGATTCAACTGCTCCATAATCCAATCTCCATCACTTCTATATAGAATATCCTCCAAAGAAATTAAATGGTATCTACAACAGGCAAATTTTAGGATTAGGTACGCAAGGACTGTATTAATTTCTTATTTCTGTTTTAAAATGTTTCCCATTACATTACAGGGGAACAATAAATGCTAGCAAATTCCACCCCCCTATAGTTATTAATTGTTGTAGTATTGCTATATTTAAATTTTGTCTCACATAGATTCTTAAGTTTTATTTGTTCGTCACAATTAATCATCTATTCAAATTTTGTTATTTCATTGTAGACTAACTTACCCCTCTATAAATACATATAAATAAATATCCATCAAATCTGAAAAAATCATATCCATACAAGAACCCAAGATCAAGGGCCTAGATACAAATAATATACTCTAAGCATAATCCATACAATTGATAACAATTGTAATTCGGTAGTGTTCGGTTGCAAATTATTTTGTGGATTCGAGTCTAAATATTCACAATTTATATATTAAATGTTCACAATTTACCTTTTAAAATTTTACAATTTGTATATTACGAACACACAATGTTAACATATATGTAATTGATTATCTTGTTTTGTATTTACAAGTTCCTTTCAAATACTGCAGTTACACAATATTAACATATTAAGATTTGATGACCATGTAATGTGTTCTCAAATTCCCTTCTATGATTGTTATGTGTTTTGATTTAGAAAAACGATTTATATTCTAGAAGTTTACAATTTCAATACTAAAAATACACAATTTATATGTCGTTTAGAATCGGGGGGCAAATTTTACCGTGGAACGCGGTCTACAATGTATTGTAGTTCAGGCATCAAAACGACGTTGTTTTGTTTAATGAAAAGAAACGACACCCGTTTTGCGCCGTTCCGCAAAAAGTAACTCAGTTATTCAGTTTCATTTTGTATACATTGCAGTTTAATTTCAATACAACTACAATATCATTTTGATATAATTATAATTTCGCTGGACAATAACACTCAAATATGTGAAATTGTTATTCAATTTCATTTTGTATACACTGCAATTTCATTTCAACACAACTATAGTTTCGGTTCAATTCAATTACAGTTTCATTTGATAATATAAAAATAATACGTGAGACAGTGTCAGTTTAAATAGATTGTAGTTTCATTTGGTAATTAACACACAAAAAATACGTGCTCTGTTAAGCTGTAACAACTATCGTATATATTTTTTAGATCATGATTCACAAAATTTTATAGACCGCGGTCCATAGTATAATTGCTGTGCAAGGTGGATCCTGGTCCATTGTATAACAACTCGGTGGTGTGAGGGACATCCCTAGCCCATTACACGAAATTGGGTTCAACATGGAAAGGGTTGAAAGTGGATACTTAAAGCCCAATCTGAAGAACCCAAAAGTAGTTTGATACTTTTATGGTTTCAGTGGCAACCGAATTTGTGTTATTCTCTGTTATCGGCTAAGTGCTAACCGCTATGGTTTATAAAGTTGATTGCTACATCTTTCTCTGAAACTAAGCCAATCTCATAATTCACTTCGATCGATTCGATTTTTAAAATTTTGAATCGATCGATTTGATTTTTTAATTTTTTAATTTTTTAATTTTTTTTGGAATCGATCGATTCGATTTGATTCGTTGAAACTATGGATTTCTTCAAATCGATTTTAGCCGATGATCCGGAACCCGAAAATGTGCAAGATTCCAAACAGCATTCCCCGTCCCCATCTAGCCAAAAAGAGGAAAATCGCGAAGAAACTGAGGGTGTGGATGGCGCAGATCCGTCAACTACTGCTAGCGGTGCGAGTAGATGGGGGAGTTTCGGAGGTCTCATCAAGACTTTAGCTTCCCGATCCGAGTCAGTCCTCGAGACTTACCGCCGGGATCTGGAAGAATTCGGGACGGGTCTTAAGAAAGAGACGGTGCTTTTCCGGGAAGTCGCCAGCCGTGCGGTGAAGGAGCTCCCGGCTTCGATCGAGGTAGGCGCCTCGGTGGCTCATGGCTCCCTGGGATCAGTCGGCAAGACTATCGACGGAGTGTTCAAATCCACCGCCGATATCATTTCTCAAGGTAAAGATACTCTCCTATCCTCCTCCGACGCCGAACCCGAAACCCCCGACACGAATCGGAGCTCCGATTCGCGTCGTTACAGTAGGTTTGATGCGCAGCTAACCACAATCCGGAATGACCCCGCTACTTTCACCGACGAGCCTGAGGATTTGGATGAGTATAGGAAGTGGAAATCGGAGTTCAATTTGAACGATAAGAGGCCGGAATTTGAGGAATTGATCGGAGAAAATGGTGGTCTAGATGGTGTTTACAAACGCCTTGTACCCAGTGTAGTTGATGAAGATACCTTCTGGTGTCGCTACTTTTACAGGGTGCATAAGCTTAAGCAGCAAGAAAGTGTTAGGGCTAGCCTTGTGATGAGAGCAATATCTGTAGATGATGAAGAAGAATTAACCTGGGATGTTGATGACGATGATGACAATGATTATGAGCCAAATTGTACTGCAAAATCGAAAGGCGAAGAACAGGGAAATAGCCAAGCTAGTAATCAAGATTCAGGGAAAATCACAGATGAATTGCAAAATGTGAGTTCTGATATCAGTGATGAGAAGGGCTCTGTTACTGGATCGAGTGAGAATAGTTTCCCTAAAGAGAAAGAGGCCGAGGAAGCTACATTACTGAAGTCAGTTGAGAAGGGAGTTCCGAGTGGTAAACAGAATGATGCTTGTGAGCAGCAACCCGTGCAGGAAGAGGAAGACTTTGGGTGGGACGAGATTGAGGATATCGAGAGCGGTGATGAGAAAAAGGCTCTCACTTCTCGTGGTGAGAGTGCAAATATAGCTGATTTGAGAAAGAAGCTTGCTGATGATGATGATGATGAGAATTTGGGTTGGGATATCGAAGATGATGATGAGCCTATCAAAGCTTGATCCTTGGCCAATATCCCATTCGCCTTTGAGAGCAGAATGTGAGAATTGCAACAGATATCTGCAGATGGTATAATTCATTTGTTTCTTGAATGCCTTGTGTTCAAAACTGTCTGTCATTTACTCATTTACTCACAGAAGTGAATACATTCATCTATGCATAAATGGTTGTAGTTATATATATATATAGCAAACTATGTTACTACTACTTGTCATTTATATGTGAAGTGAATGTCTAAATGTCTATGCAATTTGCTAATTTGAACAATTAGCCAGTTAGGGGTTTCTGATTTATGGTTGCTGCAGCTACTACTTGTACTATATCTTACATTCAGAAATGAGAATTGCCTTGATTTCTTCATTCAAACTCATGTTTTCTATAGAAGCAGTCAATACATTTCTCAGGCTAGAACTAGTCAAAGACAAGCTAGTTGCGGTGGAAATTCATGTTAATAGATTCTTAATGGGTCTAATGGGTTCCTAATTCATGGTGACTGCTACACATCTGCCCCATCTCATCTGCGGGTAGTCATATGATCTCTTTCCCATAAAGGAAGATGCTAGTTGTGCTTGCTGATTAAATTGGGAATATTTAGTAATAGGCAAAACTTGTGTGATCCGATGGGTCGGGACAAGATGACAATGTAATACTTATAAGGAAAATATATATGAATAATATTTATATTGGAAAATCTAATACTAATTAGAAATAAAGTGTTACTAACTTATGAAGAAAAGTGTAATACTTCTTTTTGAATAGTATCTTGACTTACTCGTTTTATGAATTTATTTGTGAGACGGTCTCTCAAGATAGTCGCTCTTAGTTAGACCTGGCAATTCGTGTATATGGGTTTGTTAACGGGTCGACACGATAACGACACAAATACGATAAGGCTAAACACGGACACGACACGTTATGGTTAGTGAGTTTAAATTTTTAACACGGACACGACACGTTATGGTTAACGAGTTTAAATTTTTAACACGGACGCGAACACGATTTGTTAACGGATTGACACGATTAACAGTTTTGTTAACGGGTTTCAAGTCGTGTCGACACAAAATCCGTGTTTAAACCCGCTATTTTTATTAATATATTTAAAACACTAAAATTTAAAGCTAAGTTATATAAACAAACAAATATAACCTACAATTCAATCCATTAAACAAACTAAAAAATATTCAATTCATAAAATTCATAAAATGATAAAATAACATCCAAATAGTATAATTAAAGGAGTACATACTAGTTTTTAGAATAAAATTGAACACACAAAAAATTCAAATTTCAAATTGTTAAGCATCAACAATTGGTTTAGAATCTTCGCCTAATGTAGTAAATTCATCCTTAGTCATGTTCATAATATCTTTTAAAACCTCATTCATGACAATGGTTTTTACCTAAATGACAATGGTTCTTAGCGGGTTATAAACAAGTTTGTGTAAACGGCTTTGTGTTAACGGGTTAACACGATAATATTAACGGGTTAAACGGTTTCTTAATAGGTTTAACGGGTTGACCCGTTAAGACACGAAACATAACGGGTTTTTAATGGGTCAACCCGTTAACGACCCGGGACACGTTAAGGCTAAACACTAACCCGTTATTTTTGTGTCCGGTTTCGTATCATGTTAACGGGTCGTGTCAATAATTGCCAGGTCTACTCTTAGTAATAAAGTAATTGAGTAATGTATATTAACTTAAAATCATTGTAATAATTTTTTTTTTTAATAAAAACATAAAATGTATATGCAATAGTTTTATTACTAAAGTAATTCCCTTACTAATAAAAAATGAATAATAAAGAATTTATAGTAAGATACCCTAATACTACTACAAAAAGAATAATAAAGAGTTTATAGTAACTAGTAATAAAATTAGGGTTTAGGGTTTATGAAAGGTCAAATTTTGGAACGAATTTTAGTAACCAAAACCTTCTAAAGGTCTAGTTTTGGAGAACTGAAGTTCAAGAAGTAAAAGACTTGAAGATAAGAAAGTTGAAGGCTAGAAAGATCGAAGAGTTGAAGATTCAAAGAGTTGAAGACCAGAAGGTTAATAGTGAAAAAGTGGAAGGTCCAACCTTATTTGAAACATTAAGGCACTCAAATTCATAATCAAGAGCAAGACTTCAACAAAGCAAAAGAAGATTTCAAGCCATGTCTACATAGTTGGAGATTCAAACAATTTTATGTCCAACCAACTATTTTCTTATTGGAAAGTACAAAGATGCGGAGTAACACGTGTTGTCTTGTGAAAAAAATGATAATTGAGGACGAATTTGTGATCAAGACTTAAGTGCATTTTGTTGTACTTGAAGTGATAGTGCAATCCTCCTAGGTGTTTTAGAAGAAGAGTGAAGTAAACTCAGTTTAGCGGAACTACTATAAAAATCTCTATCTTTCTATCTTCAAATTATTAGCAATATTTTCTCAAATTCTAACAAGCCAAACGTAAGATTAAAAATAACAAAACTCATGCCTAATTTAAAAATGGGATAAAAAATATTTTAGGATGCATTACAAGTTTATAAACTATGATTTTACTTTGCATTAAAGTTTTATTGAATTCATTGTTTTCAAAAAGTTTTAAAAATTTAACAAGGTCTATTCAACACTCCTCCCCGCCTAATCCCCCTCGGGACCAACATGTTGCTTCTTCCAATTTGGAAGGAGGTGATGAATGTCACCCCACTTTAAATTCAAAAGGAGGTAGTGAACGTCACTCTTCTTTCCAAATCTGGAATGAAGGAACGAGCGATGAACGTTGCCCCTCCTTCCTGTTCCGGAAGAAGGTGGCAAACATTGCATCAATCTAGACTGGAAGAGTGGCTAATGTCACGGGCTGTCATGGCAGTTAAGAAAAATAAAGATTTTTTTTTTTTTTTAAATAATTTAAATTGCCACGCCATTGTATTTTTTTTTACCGTTATGTAATTTTTTTTTAAAATTTAATGGTGTAATTGTTTTTCACTAAGGTCCGTTTGGAAAGTAGGAAAATAACTTCTGAAAAATGACTCATTTTTCAGAAAAAATTTACTTTTCTAGTATTTGGCTGCATAACATAAAACTCATTTTATGTGTTTGGTTCATTTTCCAGAAAATGAGCAAGAAAACATACAATAGATGGGACTTCAGTATAAACCCCCACCCCCCTCCAAAAAAAAAATTTATTAAATTTTTTTTAATAACATTGAACTAGTTTGGTTTCTGACAAGGAAACAAATCTCCAGTTGTCACTGACACTCAAACCCATAACCTTTCTTATAAGAGTTCAATTTGGTGTTACTGGACCACAAAATCCTGGACATATTTTGTGTTCATAGTTTATATGTTTTATCTAATTAATGATATGGAGTATTTCAATTTTTTATATGAACAATTCTAACTATTTTGAATTATTTTAATTTTGCACCCGCTCAATTAATCATCGACTCCACCCTAAGTACAATCCACATGTATAAAAGTACACATCCTTTCTATGCAATTCATCTCCCATATCCATACAAAATTTTCTTCACCATCCTTATTCCCCACCCAAATATCATAAGCCAACCCTACTAAGAAAAGATTCATTGCATACATGTATGTGGCCATGTGAGCTTGTCAATCAACCTACTCTCACATACAACTAAAATTGCATATCCTAAAAACTATACTCCACTCGGCCACTCCACAATGGAATCATTCACCTTTTTCACCTTAACTTCACCAACATTATAAGTTGAAATATCAATCTCTAATTAAATTTCTTGACCTTACAAAATGTAACCTAACTATAAATTATGGTCATGTTTGATAATATAGTTAACTTATCAACTAATTTCAGTTTATTTGATCACTATTAACTGTTTGAATTGGAAATAGACAAAATTTGGTGTAAAAATATATTGAGAATATTTTATTTGATACAGAATTTAATGTAATGGATTGGAAATAAACAAATGAGGTTCTAATCCGGTTGTTGAACAATTTATTGCATCTGGTGTTAGGAGGGCCATTTTTGTAGATTTGGTGTGCAAACTTTTTTTTTTTTTTTTAATTTAAAAAAAGCAGTAGATCTAGATGAAATTAATGGCTGAAATTTATGCGCATTTTTTTACTTGAGAACTCCTTCACACATGATTTTGGACCTATATATATAAATATATTTTTTTATATAGATAATTTCGATTTATAGCATTAACAATTTGAACCAAATATAGGCCAACACTTATACCATGGACCTGGGTCTATCTTGAGTTCAAAATACACAATTTATATACTGAATGTTCACAATTCAAATTGTGAACATTCAGTATATAAATTGTGTATTTTTTTAACACGGATCCACCTTGCAAGGTGAACCTATATCCACAAAATAATTTGCCAATAGAGGCTGAGCCAGTCGGCAAATTATACCATGGATCAGGGTCTACCATGTTTTTGTACATGTAGCTATCATATTATATGTCAGCGATTATCAAGTCAGAGTTGTATCTATAGTTGACACATTCTATACCTGTAATTGATAGTTTCTGCACCTATAGTATCATATTATGTGTTAGCAATTATTAAGTTATTTATTTACATGTACAAAAACTCTTAACTGTATTTACAAAATGTGTTAATTGAAGGTACACAAATTTTGTATCAAAGTTCACAATGCAATATGAACCCTTATCGATGGTATAATAATTGGGCAAATTATGATGTGCATCCGTGCGGATCAAAAACGACGTCGTTTTGACTAAAAACGCGTGTCCAACTAAAAAAAAAAATCAGTTTCGATTCCCGTCAACAACATTATGTTGTACATAATTTCTAAATGTATAGTTATGAAATTATGGATGCATAGTTATGCAATTCTGGATTTATAGTTATGAAATTATGGATGTGTAGTTATGCAATTCTGAATATATAGTTATGAAGTTATGCAATTCTGAATTTATAGTTATGAAGTTATGGATGTGTAGTTATGCAATTCTGAATGTATAGTAATGAAGTTATGGATGTGTAGTTATGTAATTCTGGATGTGTAGTTATGCAATTTTAAATTATTATTTTTTTAAGTCGACGTCAAAACGACGTTGTTTTTGCATCCGTATGCACCATGCATGGTGCAAACGGATGCACAGCATAACGAAGTGCAAATTATGCTGTGCATCTGTATGCACCATGCATGGTGCATACGGATGCAAAAACGACGTCGTTTTAATAAAACGCGCGTCTCCCCTTAAAAAAAAAAATTAGGTTCGATTCCCAGCAACAAAATATGAACTAAAATTCCATAATCGATGAACTATAATTCCATAATCTAATCTATGAACTAAAAATTCCAGAATGAATGAACTAAAATTCCATAATCTATAAACTAAAATTTCAGAATCGATGAACTACAATTCCATAATCGATGAACTATAATTCCATAATCGATGAACTATAATTCCATAATCTATGAACTAAAATTCCAGAATGAATGAACAATATAATGTTGTTGCTGGGAATCAAACCTGAATTTTTTTAAAAGGGGAGACGCGCGTTTTTTAATAAAACGACGTCGTTTTGGCATCCGTATGCACCATGATGCATAGCATAACGATTGATAACGAAGCCAGTCGGCAAACTTGAACCCAAACCTTACTGGACCAGCGGCCTATGTTTATAGGCTTTGATCGGTTTCAGCCCAATAAGATCTACGCTAACGCCTTGTAGTCTGGCCGCCAAATTTGATGTTAAACGGGTTCGTTTCCGGGCAGTAGAAGTGAGTCGAGTGACACAACGCTGTAAGGGCAGCGCTTGTTTTCTCCTTTCATCGTCAAACCGCGCCGGAGCTTGCAGTAGAGAGATTTCTCAACAAGAAAAATGGTAAATCCCGCCTTACTCTACCAATAATTCCTTCTTCGGATTGATTCAGTCTCTTTACTTTGTTCTCTTGGGTTGCAGTTGTTCTTCTCGTATTTCAAAGATTTGGTCGGGAGAGAAGTGACGGTGGAACTAAAGAACGATTTGGCAATAAGGGGCACCCTTCACTCCGTCGATCAATACCTCAATATTAAGCTCGAGAATACTAGGGTTGTTGATCAAGACAAGTTCCCTCACATGGTATCTCGCACTTTTTCTCAGTTCGTTTTTGTTCTTGTTCTCATTTTTGGTTATTATTATTATTATTATTATTATTATTATTATTATTATTATATTGTTGTTCACTTTTCTCTCTTTGTTCTTGATAACAATCGAATGATTTAAGGTTTATCTTGCTTGGGATTGGTTTTCTCTGCAATTAGGGTTTATTGTGGCTTTTCCCTTGTCTTTGTCTGAACTTCCGTTGCTTGCTCTGTTAATTTCAATTCTATTGCAAGTGTTATGTTTTTCAAGTGTTGCTTGACTATAAATGATGGTTTCTAGTGTTTATTTGGGGAATTTTGCACAATAAGGATGGTTAATTTTCAGTTTAATTTCACTGTTGAAATGTGTCTCTCAGCACTCTCCAATCTCCATGCTTTATACCTTTTTTGGGTTTGCAAGTGAGATTGCTAGTTATGCTTGCATTTTGATACACTATTGTGGATGCTTAATTTTGGTATGTATAAATGTAACTCTAATAAGTGTTTTTGGTATTACGTGATTAATATTTCTGTGCCATCTTTCTGTATGGAGAGATATTTTTAGTAGGATTGGGTTAAAGTACTTGGTAGTTCCAATCCTAACAGCCTGGCCGATATATCTCCGCAATTGAACTTAGCCATTCTGCAGGATCTGAAAATCTTTATGTTTTGTAATCTTTTCCTAAGGTCTGTAAGCCTTTGCTTGTTGATTCTTCATGTTTCAGATCTTCAAACTGTCTGTGGGAACTTTTTAAGCTGATAATTTGGCATTTGAAGTAGAGAGATTCCACGATATAAAAATGATTACATTATCTTTGAAGTATAGGATTCCATAATCTCCCTTGCCCCCACCTCTTCTCTCTTTCTCTTAACAACCTCTCTAATTAAAGACTATCTAATCTTTATTGTATTTGTTACTATCACTTGGTTATTTCTGCCTGTCTTTAGAGTTTAGAATGACCATGATATGGTATCCCATGGTAGAAAATCCAAGTAAATAAGATAGCTCTTCTTAGTGGTCATCTAATTTTATGGGAATCCTGTATTTTGGCTGTTAATTCGTCATTATTATGCCAAATGGTCTGTAGTTATGTAGCTTGTTGAATGTTAATTGCAATTTGGAGTTGTACATTCATGGCATGCAGAAACAGTAATAGAGTTGGATGCAAAATACTTTATTGAGGTTCAGTGTTTAATAATTTGAAATCCCCGACTGGTCCTGTGAGCGGCATAACATTTATTGAAAAAAGTTATTAAATTTTGCATTTTTGCTTATGCTTGTATATACATTTGTGTGTTTAGTTGGGGTGGACTAGTCTAACTAACTTGTTATAATGCAATAGCTTTCGGTGAGGAACTGTTTCATCAGAGGCTCAGTGGTGAGATATGTCCAGTTACCACCAGAAGGAGTGGACATTGAACTGCTTCATGATGCGACAAGGAGAGAAGCTCGAGGTGGATAAATTCGATCTGTGGATATTTTCTCCCATGAAGGAAGGTTTCATGTTTCAAATATTTTAGCTGCAAGTATTTGTACTGTGAATTTGTTATTGACATCTCCTAAGGATATTGAATCATGTAGTTGTATCCCAGAAAGAGATTACACACTCAGATCTGAATGCCTTAATTCTCAAATGTCAGCTTCAAATTTTTCTAATTCTAATTCTGTGGATGGATGATTAGATTACTACAGACATTGGTATACTGAATTTCAACCGTGTGCTATTTTTATTATTATGTGGGAAAAATCTAAAAGATTCTGTGATTAAGTTAAACATGGGAATTCCTATGGTCTCCCTAGGAATTGCACTTTCACACTTTGTTGTGGAATTCTAATTACATGATAAATGACCTATTTTATTCTTTTTATTATTATTATTATTATTATACAGGAACATTTTAATTTTTATTCACTTTTAAAAAAAAAATCCTTATCATTTCATTCATGTCTATCAAATAAATAATATAATTTAAATTTTCATTTTATTATTTTTTACTAGATTACAATTTTTTCTCCTCTAATCTCTCCTCCCAACCAAACACCTCCTTGTTAACTCTATATGAGAAGAATTTGTCAATGTACAAAAAGAATTTAAAGTAAAAGATGGTTTAATAAGAACATCTTCTCTATAAAAAGTATGAACACACACTAAATCAAAGAGTAGTTTGAAATTTGAAATAATTATAAAATAAATCTTGCTCTTAAAAATTTTCTTTTTGTTGTAAATAGATTTATGGTGGACATTAATGATATCTTTGTAACTTCGGATGTAATTATTCTCTATTATTATATCTCTTCATTATATCTTGTATATATAGATCATTGTACTATGATGAAGATAAGGAATAAGATGATCATGACCTTTCCCTCTCCACTCTGTCTTTTTCTGTTTAACACTTTTCCAATAATTATAAAATTAATCTTATATTTTTTATTAAAATAAAATTCTGCACCATTAATGAACTTAATAAAAGATTAAGTTGAATCCTCATTCTTTATTTTATAAGAGGATATGCAAAGCGAATTAGTGTCCAAACGAAGAACAGGGGATTCTAGTTTATTCGGATTTTCGTAAATCTTGCCAAGCCCTAGGAGGGAGGGTTTAAGAAATAAGAAGAGTGCGAGTGTTGGAGTGTGTTGTACCCCAGAAATGGAGTCAAAGGCCCTGCGGATAACATGCCTTCTTCCTCTTCTTCCCACACCCCGCTACCCGCCTCCGTCCTTAAAACTTTCGCTATCATTTTTTAACTCAATTCCTCTAAGAATCAAGTCTCTCCCCGTCGCAGGTTAGCCTTAACCTCCATCTTCATATTCTAAAACCAATTTCCTTCTTTATGTTTTCGTATTTATTTGGTGCTTTCAAATTATAGCTCCGAAAAGATGCAAGACAACCCAAGAACAAGACCTTTATGATGGGATTCCCCCAGAGTTCTTTGATGATGATGATGGCGATGGGCTTCCCCCGGAGTTCTATGATGATGTATGCATCTCCCTTTCCCCCCCTCTTTTTGCCAATAACTGAAATTAGAAAACAAAGAGGTTGAACCTGCTTCAAAAATTGAATCTTTCTTGAGTATTGTAGTGTTGGGCAGGGCGGGTAAAGGGCCGAATCTAGCACTATGTGGTTAGGAGATTGTTGGGTGGAGCCCAATAAAGGGCTAGTACCCGTTTTCGAGAATGTGGGTCGGTATAAGAAAATAAAAGTTTACACTTTCATTACGAGCTATAGCTTTTGGCATAGTAGTAAGTGCCACTCCTAACAAGTGGTATCAGACCTGTTGGGAGGGATTGTTGGGTGGAGGCAGATAAAAGGCCAAGTCCAGCACCTGACTCTCGAAAATGTGTGGTGGTATAAGGAAATTAAGTTGGGGCTTGGTTGCTTTTGGCTTAGAGATAAGCGTTTGATCCTAATATGTAATCTGTGTGTTTGAGTTTACTGTTATTGCTGTCAATAATTGGAGCTCTTATTTTGTTATGGTGGCTAATTTATTGAATCTTGGAAAAGAGGGGGATGGAAAATGAGAGTAAAGGAAAAAAGGGATAATCCTTCTGTTCTGTTATTTGTATGCTTTGAAGATAGGACTAACCTTCTCCCGGTTAGGAATGGCAAGCCAAGCAAAGGGAGAAGACCAAAGAGTTTCACAGATTGCGTCAACAGGAAGATGAAGAGGAGGAAAAGAAGGTTGATGAGTATCGGGAAATCGCTATGCGGTTGAAAGATTATCCTATAGAAGAGCTTTGCAAGGCCAGGAAATTGGTATCTAGCTTTATTAGATCAGCTGAAGAAGTTGAAGAGGTTGGAAATATTATCTTCTTGTTTATCCATTTTAGTTTAACATTAAGCATTGGTGATACATTGATACCATTTAGTGGAACTATAACCATAAGTTATTACAGGCCACTTCTTACTTACACTAATGCATTTTTTTTTTTTTTTTTTTTTTTTTTTTTTGTTGTGTGAAGAAAATTGAGGAAGCTGCTGAAAAAGGTGAACTAACTGAACTTGTCCTGATGGTAATATGGAATCGCCTCGATCTCGCCAAGCGTGATGTTAGTCTTCCTACTGCTAATTGCTTCATTGATATGCAGTTGGGCATTTTTTGTTCTCATATATATGAAATGCAGTATCTGTTCATAACTACTTTTCTTAACCTACTGAAGCACAAAGAGTCAATATTACCCTACCGAGGCTCAATATTACCCTACTGAGGCTCGAACCCATAACCTCCCATATGGGATAGCCACTTCGTGCCACTAGACCTCAAGGTCATTGGCAGGTCTTATATCTGTTAGTTTTACAAATATCTAAGATAATAAAGGACGGGGTCTGTTTCAATTTTAGACAAACTTGGAAGTCGTATAGTTTAGTTAACATCTAGTTAATGCTTTTTTCATCTGCAAAATACGTTTTTGTGTACTAAGGGCATCTGATATTTTATTTGTATAATCTATAATGGTGTCATTAATGCAGTATTTAATCAGTATTGTTACTTAAATCATGGGACCTTTTGTACTTAGTTTTTCATCACATCTTCAGGATGAGAAGGATGCAGTTCGAAGTCTTGATCTCTTATATAGGCGGGTTGAGGTTTGCTCCAAAAACTTCTGTAATGATTGCACAGTTCATGTGAAGTGACTAGAAACTGTGTCCTGTTTCTTGTAGTTACATTTTGATCATTAAAGAATAAAGACGCCTTTTTTATCTTTCAGATGGAAATTTTGAAACGTGAGGCTACTCCGGCCATGAGACTGCTCAATGATCTTCTGAATATGTATGATGGATTCGACGATGAAGGGTGGCTCAAGAAATGTAAAAAAACTATGGTCGAAACATTTCCACGGGAGGATCCATTCAGTATTCTTGTACCCGCAGGATTTGACATGGAGAAGGTATATTGCAACCGTACAATATTTGCTCTTGCTACAATATAATAAGGGTCCGTTTGCAAAGTAGGAAAATGACTTCTGGAAAATGTTTTCTGGAAAATGAGTCATTTTCCAGAAAACATTTTCTTTTCCAGTGTTTGGTTGCATTTTGGAAAACTTGATGTGTTTAGTTTATTTTCTGGAAAAATGAGTAGAATTATATGTTTAAACATTCTGGCAGAAAATGACTTCCCCAAATTTTGGCGGAAGTCATTTGCCGCCAAAATGGCTTCATTTTCCCCAATCAACGGAAAACATTTTCCGTTGACTGGATTTTCCTATTGCATCCAAACACTAAAAACTCAGAAAACATTTTCCAGAAGTCATTTTCTGGGTTTGCAAACAGACCCAAGTTGATTCGAAGGCATCTTAGTGAAATGTTCTTTGCTTTCTCGTAGCACGAAGGCCCAGTGAGACCAAATCTAGAAGCCGACGATGTACTTCTAAGAGTGGATTTCGTGAGAGAGGTAGATGCGCTGCTACAGGAGGTTCGAGGGGAAGAAATAGAAGCGGTAAATGCGCAATGGCTTGATGCTGAATCGGTTGCGGTTAGGTTGAAGAAACAGGAGAAGCAAAGAGCCATTAACCAAGTGGAAGCTATTTTAGATGTGGCCATTAATTTGAAGTGGTAGTGAATCAGAAGAAACCACAACCTGCCTTCTTCCCCTCCATGCTTAGGCTGCTGCATGTATCTCTCCATGCTTAGGCTGCTGCATGTATCTCTTCAAGGCTTGAAATGAATGTAACACAATCAACGACATCTTAATCTTAATCTGTGTATATTGAAAGGGATGTTTATTTTTCAGTTTCAACAGATTGAATTGAAAATGTAGAAAAATGTCTCAACTTTTAGTAGAGAGGAGTGGTAGTTCGGATAATTCAAATTACGCCCACTCCTAAGTGGGTCCCACCACCAAAAAAAATGAAGACTATTTCTTGGTGCAGGTGAGGTGTACCAGAAGTGCCCAGACAGGCGCTTACACACCACTCGTCAACCCATTAAACAGCTTTATTATTATTATTATTATTATTATTATTTAATTTATTCTTTTAGTCGTCGGATTTTTGTTTTTCCTTTACTTTTTCTCACATTTCCTTCTCTCTTTTCTCCTATTTGACAACTTAAAAGCCCACAAAAAATCTCAACAAATAAGGATGCTCTAATATATTCATCATCTTTAATTCCAAAAAAAAAAAAACATTATAAGCAACCAACTAATAACTAAACTCAAGAGATTCAATTTTGTAAACTACAATAATATGATTAGATATTATTTTTACATAGTATAAAAGTACCAAATTTAAGAGGTATGAATATAATTGTTACATTTGAATATTTATTTTTCCACTAATAAGCCAAAAAGGAAAAGAAAAATCTAAACTACCCCAATTGTTGACCTATTTCTCAATCTCATATATGCTTGGTGGAGTAGGGGTTGTTAAGAATTAATATTTAATTAATTAACATTTAATTAACATAAGAGATGAAGTTGCTCTTTTATCAAATAATAATTTTGACTGACTGACCAAGTCAATCAGTCAAAATTGGTCAAACCAACTGTAAAATGGATGATCAGCCAATAACCAAACACTCCCGATGTATTTATCTATTATAACAAGTTAGGATTAGGGGTTTGAGCAGCAATTTCCCTTCTGGGAATTCTCCTGGTGGCCACCAGAGGATCATTCTCCTCTTCATCCACTGATACTGGAGCCTCAAATTGACCCCTGCCCTTAAAAACTGGGTGCACATAAGCATCACCCAGATATATTCTCAGGTTCAGGTTCGGTTCTGTTGCCTTCTCCAATGTATCTTTAATCTTGGCTTCCTGCAATGGGAACTTAACAAATGCGGATTCGAATCTCCCCGTGCAGAACTTATGGAACCAGATTGTTAGAACCGGAAGAACAAGAATGACTGGGCCTGACTTGGCCACATTCTTGGTGCTCATCAGCCCCATCAGCTGCACCTGAGATATCACCAACCCGATGATTATGCGACGGTGAACGTCCGGCCAGAATCCCGCCCCGCTCTCGTACTTCTGGTCGTACACGTTGATGATCTTGCAACAACAAATCATGGTGTCAGATGTATTGAGCATATGCAGTCCAACTATCAGCTTAGACTTTTAGAGCACATGTCTCAATTTGGTATCAGAGCCATGTCAAAAGTCATGAGTTCAAATCTCTGCGTCACCCGATAAAAAAGAGAGACTATGGAACACATGCAGGCCTGATTCATGCATACATACCTGATGGCGGAAGACCAAGTAGGCGAGAGCGAAGAAGACGATTATGAAAGGGAGGATAATAGGTGTGATGACGGCGTATACTAATCCCAGTAAGAAGTAAAGCTGTATGCGAGGTTCTGCTATGGAAAAAGTTATGGAACCAGGATCCATAGCCTCCTGCCTGTCCTTATCTGTCTTTACCAAGAATGCATCCTTAATATGGAACATAATGAGAGGAGATAATCTCAGAATCTCTGCAGCAATGGCAGCCCAACCATCCACCATTATGAAGGAGATAAAGAAGGTGGCTTTAATTGGAATGGCTACGCCTATAGTCTTTGGAATTCTGCAAGGGAAATATTCAATCAAGATATCAACAAGTATGTTAAAAGAGGGAGTGTTAAGAATATCATATTGAAAATAAGAATTTATAATGTCATGAGTTAGATTTTTTTATGTGCATTATAGTCCATTGAGTGATCTTGAGTAAATTATACCCTAGATCAGGGTCTATCTTGCATTGTGATAATTGTTATACCATGGACTAGGATTTATATTGCATTGTGAATCTTGATCCAAATATTATGTGTCTAAAGTTAGCACATTTTGTGTACCTGCACTTAATAATTTTTGTACTTGCAAACAAATTGAAGGCATGTAACATGATAATTATTACATACACATAATAATTACAGACACATAAATTGTTAAGTGCATGTACTAAGGCTCTGTTTGGCAAACCTAGCTGAAAAGCAATAAGCTAGGAGCTGAAAGCTGAAAAGTTATAAGTTCGGAGCTGAAAATTAAAGAGCTATTAAGCTAGCTGTTATGATTGAAAGTGTTTGATAAAATTAGCTTTTTGACAAGTTGATAAATCTAAAAAGACAAAAAAGATATCTTCATAAAATTTAAATTAGTTTGTTTACATATTAAAATTTAACATTTTTTCTTTTAAAAAAATTAACATTTTAAAATAAAACTATTAGCATAATCATGATCTAGCATCTCATAATGAAGTAGCAATATTGTTGCAAATCTCATAATAATAATAATAATAATAATAATAATTGCGGTGAAAGTTGTTGATAAAAGAGAAGAGAAAATGATTTTAATTGGAAAGGGTAATTATGTCATTTCTTTAAAATAATAAGGATAAAGATGAAAAAAAAAAGTTAGGAAGCTAGAAGCTTATTTTGAAATGTAGCGTTCCAAAATAAGCTTTTATTTTAAGCTAGGAGCTTATTTTGGGAACATTACCAAACATAGCTTATAGTTTATTAGTAGCTTAAAATAAGTTATAAGCTCCTAAATAAGTTCTGTCAAACAGAGCCTAAATATGTTAACCGCAGAAATATAAGATGTTGATTAACATGGTAACATATTTTGTATATAATAACTACACACACATAAATTGTTAATGGCAGGTACTAAATATGTTAACTGTAGACACATAAGATGTTGGTTAACATGGTAACATAATTTGTATCTGCAGTTAACCATTTATGTGTCTTTAGCTATCATGTTATATGTCTATAACTATTATGCAATATGCATTAAATCTGTTTATAGCTAAAAAAAAAACGTTTAACAGTAGATACAGAATCTGAATGTTATTTTTGGACTAGAGTTTACAATGCAAGGTAGACTCTGGTCTATGATATAATTTGCCGCATTGTGGACCCTGGTTCAAAAATAACCTTCAGATTCTATACCTATGAATAATTTTGAAGACACATCAAATGATAATTATATATATGTTCTGTATCTGCAGTTTTACAAGTATAGAATTTGTTAACTGCAGATACAAAATCTTTGAATCAAGGTGTCGCAACAATGCAATATAAATCTTGGTTCACAGTACAATAATTGGTAGTCTTAACTTAATTTTAGATTATAACATGGTATCAATTCAATAATTATGAGTTAAATTAAATTAGTTAATTGATTGGATTCATACTCAGCTGGTGCCTGATTAAGAAATTTATCGAGTTGTTGAAATGCAGCTCCTGCGATAATACTTCCAAGGAAGACATTGACAAGTAAAAACAAATGGTATTTTGCAGCTGAGCTTCTCTCCAGAGATGAAAGTGACGTAACGCCTTCTGCCTTGCTCATGGCCATAAGAATTTTAGGAACATTGGCCAGAAAGAGCTTCAGTACCATCCCAGGAAGAAATCCCTGAATAAAAGCCTTAACAGCATCCCTACAAAACCAAAAATTTTCAGCAAAATTAAGACCAAAGAGTTCCTCATAATCATCGTTTGGAGTTAATACCATCTAGGATCTTTCGAGTATAGAGATTTTGTCACATATAGTCCTAAACTTTTAAATTAACTAACGTTCGACTTTTAAATTGTTACTATCCATGATCCAAGTTAACCAGTCCTTCAATTATTAATGTCCTTCCAACAGGACCAAAACAAGGAACATGTGGTTAACTTGGACCAGATGATAACAATTAGAAAGTTGAAGGATCACAGGTGATCGATTTAAAAGTTTAGAATTAAACGTGACAAAACGGAGGGACCATGACATTAATTCTTTTCCTCTGGCTAAAATTGAAGAAACCACTCACTTCTCTATCACTGGCGTCAAGAAAGGGAAAACCTTTTCTATGCCCTCAATGCTGGCGAGAGACTGAACAAATGCAATGGGAATCATGAAAAAGAAGGTAAGAAAGAAGAAAGCCGCAGCCATTAGTAGTTTTCGGATGTTGAGTTCAACATAGGGTATGGCAAGACTGTTCCAAAAGACGTCTCGCGGTTCAGGTGCCCATTCTGTGAGCCAAATGGTGGGATTGTTTGATTGCTGGGTTTGGGCACACACAGCTGCTCCCCATCTGGTTTTGAATGAAACAAAAGCTGCTGGAATTATGGCATTAGGGTCACTTAAGACCTTCTCTCTTTCTTCAGCTTCCTGGATCAAAGAGTGTAACCCATTACTATATAGAAGAAACAAAACACTTTGCTCTAGCATATATAGATATGAAACAGGATCATATATCTTTTGGTTAGACCACGAGGTGTTTTAGCAAATCTTAACTATAGGAGACTGTCTATACCATATTCAGACTGATCCTCGTTTGCACTGGGCTGGCCCAATTAAGAGACAATCGTATTGGTTTTTTTATACAAGAGAAGGTTTCATACTCCCGACCTATCTTAAGCGATGAGAGTGCATGACCACTAACACTAATCAAGCTGGTTAATCAGGATCATATATTCAAGCCTATAGTTAAGTTAAGGCACTTACTCTTTCACTCAAATTTTTGATTTCAGATGTATAATAGTCAATGGCATCCACAGTTTCCCCCCAGAGGCCCCAGAAACCTGTCTATACATGAAAGAACATTAGACTTTGAAATTGTTAGGCGGAGGCTGGTAAAAGCCAAACCCAACACCCAACCTCTCGAAAACATGATAAGTTGGGCATTCTTTCGAGCCCCAACAATAACATTTAAGATTGGTTGGTGCTGGGAGGAGAATACATAAATGGATCATCAAATTCATGTATGAAAAAGAATACCTTTGTTTTTGGTCTTTGGGAAGGTTTTCTTTCAAACACTGTCTGGTAGTAAGTGAGCCAATTCTGCAAACTCTTCTTTTCCTCCACCAGACTTGCTAGCATGTTAGCATTGTATACAACCTAAAACTTTCATGACTTTACGGTTACATAACGCAGATTTGAAGCAAAACACACAACACAACAAGTAACGAATTTAACTATCAGCTGCACGAAAATGGTAAGACAATACTTCGACTGAATCTCGATATGGAAGCCACAAAGTTTTCTGAACCGAGAATTATATATATATGTAGAGACAAACCTGGTGCAGAAGGTAATTATCTGGATGGTTTACACAGAAGAAATGCTCAACGTGCTCGCTAACCGTTTCATCATTATCCGGGGGAACATTCCTCACAAGGACCTTTAAGAGAGAGCCAAATTGGTGATGATTAGCTAAAACGCGATTCAAACGAGCACAAAATCCATAAACTTAAAGCACTAACCGTGAACTGATCAGGCCGACGCTTTTCAGTAGCAAGAAACTCCAGCCTCAATCTAGAGACAATTCCATACTCTGTGTATAGAGCATACAAGGTCCAAAATGAGGCTAAATAAGTCATTGCTATGTGTGCCCATAACCTGAAAAAAAACAAAATTTTGGTATAAGTGGAGAGTTATTCTGCAATGCAATGTGAAAAGAAACTTATTTTAAGTTACAAATAAGCTATAAGCTCTGTTTGATAAATTGGGCTTCTGCCAGAAAGAGGCTATAGGTTTATTGAAACAGAGGTGGACAAAAGAAAATTGAAAGAAATTTAATGCTTACTTAGGTGATCCTGAAGGAATATTTGATATTGACATTTTGTCAATGTCATTGAATGTTATGCCCTCAATATGCTGCAGAGATCCACCAGTCCAGTTAATAGGAACTAAGACGGCAAAAGCAAGAAGCGCAATGGGTACAAATATTTTCAGCCTGCATTAGAACTATACAAATTAGATGGCCTGCAAAACTGTAAAGAAAAGTGAAACTAAAAATAATAGTACTTCCTTTCCCAAAAAAAAAAAAAAAAATAGTTCCCTGAACCACTAAAAAATAGTGTTGGGCGGAGGCCGGTAAGGCCAAGTCTTAGTATCCAGTGGTTGGAGGATTGTTAGGCGGAGGCAGATAAATGGCTAAGTCTAGCATTCAACTTCTTGAAAATGTATGGCGATATAAGGAAATAAAGTTATGTCTTCGTTATATGCTATTATATAACTTTTGACGTAGTGGTAAGTGGTATCTAGGTTTGAGAGGGGAAATTGTTGGGCAGAGGCGGGTAAAGACCAAGTCTAGCACAAAGTCTAAATTTAGCATCCGTGGCGTGGCATGTGTGACTGGAGAGGAGAATTATTAGGCGGAGGCCGGTAAAGGTCAAGTCTTAGCATCTGGTCGCTAGAGGATTGTTAGGGGGGGACTGGTAAAGGGTAAGTCCAGCACCCAGCGTCTTGAAAATGTGTGACGGTATAAGGAAATAAAGTTGCACCTTCCTTATATGCTATTGTATAACTTTTGACGTAGTGGTAAGTGGTATCTAGGGCTAAGGCTGAGAGGGGGAATTGTTAGGCGGAGGCGGGTAAAGGCCAAGTCTAACACAAAGTCTAAGTTTAGCATCAGTGGCGTGGCATGTGAGGTTGGTGGATAGGAGAGTTATTGGACAGAGGCCGGTAAAAGCCATGTCTGACACAAAGGCCAACTCTAGCACCCGGTGATATGTGTGCCGGTATATTTCGACGTAGTGGTAAGCCTTTGATTTTAATAGTTGAGCAGATTAGCTCTACATATATAGTCACTCACCCAAGTAGGTAAATTCTAATATACACAGCGGAATCAAGGCCTGCATGATCTATAAGTTCAGGCTGTGGCATATGCAGTGCCGCTGGCATCCAATTCAAGAACCTTATGTATGTTCTTATGTCCAAATTCACAAAGTTCCGGACTACAGGTCCACATTTTCTTGGGCTTGCTCGTGTACCCTTCAAATACCATTTTGGGAAGTACACTCTATCGTTAACTGGTTGAATTCGCAGAACTGCAAACGCCAAAAGAAATGCAAATGCTGACATAAGGTTGATGGCAGCTGAAAAAATAATGTCCTCTTCAGCAGCCATTTTTGCCCCAAACTTGTTGTATCTTCTAACCTGTTAACTTTGGTGAAAAATGTGTGACAAATGAGTATTGAGCATATAATATATAAGCATACTACCCGTTTAAACTTTTAGTTAAAATAAAGCACATACTTTAATTTGATATCTTGTCGAAAACAATCACACAAGAATGTTTGGATCTGAGGTAACATTATTTAGGAGCAATGAAAGAAAGACTGACAGGGCGTTCAGTTGGAATGAATGAATTAGGGGAGAAAAGTAATTCGGTGAGAAAAGAATAATGTGAGAATAAAGTAAGAATTCAAATTATAGTGTTTGGTATGTAATAATAGGATTACAGGGAATTGAAAGGGAATAAGTGATATAATATCTGAAATGCCCTTTGTGAGAGATAAGGATGAGATGGGGTGAGAATAATGATAGGGGTAAAAATGTCTTCACAGTATTATATTTCTCAATTTCACTGCTGAATTGTAATTCTTAGGTAGGGCCATGAATTACAATTCAGCAAAGGGAAAAATTGTAATTCACTGGAATTGCAATTCAGTGGAATTAAAATTTCCTCCAACCAAACAACGTAATTGGGGGAGAAACGAATTTCAATGCAATTACAACCCATCCAACCAAATAAGCATTGATAGTTACCTTTGGGGTGAGATAAAGTTGTAAAAGAAGTCAGTCCCTCCTTGTAACTTCTTCTTCAGCTCCTCTCTTATTCTTATCCTGAAACAATGTGGATTGTTACCTGCCCACAAAACGACAACATATTATTGGATATCGAATTTAATCATATGGGTGAAGGAATGACGCATTTCTTGAACCATATGCTACACTAAATCTACCTAAACCAACTAAAAAAATATTACCTAATAAAAAATAACGAACGTTTGAAAAAAAAATAAAAATTACCCAAATCAATAAAGATAACAACTTTAATGCATGCACTTTAGTCTGAAAAATCTATAAAACAAAACATATTTTAGCTTTGTTTGATAACATAGTTAGGTTATCAAACTAATTTTATCTTATTTAATACTATTAACTGTTTGACTTGATTAAACGGTCAGTATAAGTGTTTAATTAATTAATTTTCTATAACAATTTATTGTTCCAAAACATTAAAATTTAAAAAAAAAATATTCAAAATAATTTTTTCGATCAGCTTACAAATTAATTTATCAAATATCTTTTTACAATCAGCTAATATTATCCATTAATTAAACATATTAACTCAATCACGTAATATGCTAACAACTATTTACGAAACATCACATTTATCACCTCAAGAATTCATAATAACCCAAATGTTGTTGAAGTATTACAACCTGGGTGGTCGTGTCGGTAAAATAGAAAAAGCAAGATTGCAGAAGAATTTGTGGCCACCTCGTCCTCTGACTCTTGATAATCAGGAAATATTTATTATTGTGTTGCCCTTTCTGGCTAGCCAGCCCTTCAGGCAGGCAGCCAGACAAACAAAGCCTTTCTTTCCCTGCAGGGGAATACGAAAGATATTGCAGAGCTTCTTGAGAAGGGAGAAAGAAAGAGAGAGACAGAGAGAATGTGAAAATGAGAAATACGACAAAAGGGTCGATTTTTCTGCTGGCTGACAAAATAGTAGATAATTAGTAACCACTGGTTTTTCCATTTTAGCTATTAATTTGCCTCCCAACATTTAGCAACAACAGCGGTAAATACTCTTCATTCCAAAATTAATAGAAATAAAAAAAAAAAAAAAAAAGGCTAGAATTTCAGACAATCCTAACCACTAATTCTAAACCAAATTAATATAATAGTCCAGATTTGACTATTAAAAATTTTTTAATTCTTCTCTTTTAAGGTTAAATTCCCACCCTCAAATAATCTTACTGTCCGACACAATATTTAGAATGATGTAAATTATAATAACAGACAAAATTAAATGCAAATGTAAGATCTGTCCACTTTAAACATAATTTCCACACTAAAATTTAAATATTTATCTTTCCTCTCAAATATTATTTACTGAACCAATAAGTTAAGTTTATCTGACTGAAACAAAAACTGAATTCTTGTATTAACAAAGGGTCAATTCCATAACACAACATTACATTATCCGGTAGTTTTTAGTGAGATCCATTTGCAATTGGATTACCCGCATTCCGATCAATCGCGTCCTCTTCTTCGTCTCCGTCATCGGCGCCGCCCTCTTCGTCTTCTTCGCCGCCGCCGTCGTCGTCCGACAGAGGCACCAGCCAACAAGCACCGTGTAAGTGGCCGTTGACACACACGAAGTATTCCGACCCGCCGTCGAGCGAGCCGAGGCGGCGAGCGGCGCTCTTAGGGATAAGACGCGCCGCCGTCATGCTCCACACTCTGGCGCCGCAGTAAGGGCACTTCACTCGCTCTTCAAGCCCTACCTGTCTTCGGATCAGACACGCCCTAGTTCTCGACTTCATGAATCCCCCAAATACCCCTCTGTAGATCCCCAAATCGTCCTCTCGGTCCCCCGACGGGTGTTCGCACGGGTCGCTCACGTACAGAACATCGCCTCTACACTTGCTCACCAAAAAGCTCCGCCCCGACGTCTTCGAGAACCGAGTCTCCCTCGCGAAGTGCCCCGGCGACGGCCGGCCCAGCCCGAAATGCCGGCTCGACTGGCACCCGCAGCAGTAAAACAGCAGCTTCGCCATCGCTTGCCACCCCCCGCCGATCCGCCCGTTCGGCGCGCCGTTCGTCAATGACGCTATCATCCGCGGCGCGCGGTACACGCAGAGCTCCCGCCATAGCAGCCGCTTCGCTAGGGCTCGCAGTTTCGTGTTCACCGACGCCGTCTGGCACAGCGCGTGAATATCCCACCTCATCGAACCAAACACAAGGAAAAGCAACCTCTCGTCGAGAATCCCCGGGTTTTCCGCGTCGGAGGATGAAGAATCTCCGGCCTGGTCAACCCTCCGGCGTTGACTGCTCATTTTTCGTCGGGTATGGATAGCGCTCGGCCGGGGTTCCGTCTGTGTTATAACGAGGCCATCTCCAGAAACATTCCATTTTTTCGTGGGACACGTGTGAGACCAGGACTCCATGATTAACTGCCTGCGCAAGAAACGGGGGCACGTGTGACGCCGTGACTGGCTGACAGCCACCACGACGATATTTATCGAATCGAGGACATGGACACGTAAGCATCTCGAAGTGGGTAAAGCGCTAGGCGACACGTGTGTTATCCGAAATTATCTTTTTTCTCTTGGCTCGAAATATCTTAGGGTTTACGTGGCGAAAATTCGTGAAATTTGCCGGTGCTGGTACGCGATTACTGGTCTGAGCGAATAGTCGAGGGCCACGTGTGTAACGGTGAAGGGCACACGTATTGATGATGACTTGATTGATGTTTAGGAGATTCGGGTCAAAGGCGGTAAATGGGTATTTAAATTTTAATTGAAAGTTAATACTCAAAATAGTCCATCGACTATGTCGTAATTACCAATTTGGTCCTCGACTATCATTCTTACCCAATTAAGTCCTCAACTATACAATTTTTACCCAATTTAGTCCTTTGTCAATTTGACTGTTTGTTGACTGTCAAAAGTGGAAATAAAGTTGTAATTTTACAAGTTTTCTCCTTCCTCCTCATTTAGCAGCGCCAAACCATGTAGCAATAAGCTCCGGTTGGGTTCTAAACCTGTCAGTATCGAAGTAGTGGTTATGCATCGGATAGCCCATGAATTTGATTTCCAACGATTTTTTGACGATCGAAATCTGATCGGAGTGTATTGCTGCATGGTTTGGCGCTGCTAAATGGAGAGGAAGGAGAAATCTTGTAAAATTATAATTTTATCCCGACTTTTGACAGTCAACAAACAGTCAAATTAATACAGAGGACTAAATTGGGTAAGAATTATATAGTTGAGGACTAAATTGGGTAAGAATTGTATAGTTGAGGACTTAATTGAGTAAAAGTTACATAGTTGATGACTTAATTGGGTAAGAATGGTAGTTTAGGACCAAATTGGTAATTATGGCATAGTCGAGGGACCATTTTGGGTATTAACTCTTTTAATTGGTAGGGACATAGTAGGGCTTTGTCGGAAGATATTTTTGCTACTCCCGTAGTGCCGAAGATGGGAGGTGGGCCCCTTTCTATTTTTAATTTTAAGGATAAGTACAAATAAGACACTGAATTATTTGAAAACAGCAATTAAGTCATCGAACTTAAATAACTCTCAAATAAAATATTGAATTAAAAAAAAAAACAATTAACCTTTTTAACAGTTAACTCTAGGTTTTTGTTGACTGGATTGTCAAATGTTTATTTATTTATTTATATTTTTTATTATTATAATTCACCTGTTGGTTTTAGAGTTTTTTGGGCTCAGGGAGATCCAATACAACCGTGGTTGGTGGATTCACCTTTTAAACAAACTATGGGACTTGCAAGGAAAATAACTATGACTTTCTGTATATTTCTTGTTTACTCTTTGAGAAATTCGACTTGGTTGTCCTTTACATTCTCAAAGAACCCCTTTTATAGTGGGTCACCCTTGCTAATTCTAAATGCGTACATTAAAGTGTCATAATGTGACCTTATCACACTTACAGGCCGTTGGGCAGCCGTTACTAGGCCTCCCAACAGGCTATTTGACCAAGCTTTGAAGAGGCTCTTAAATGCCAACGGCTATCTTGCTGAGCCGACCTCTTGCTTGTGCCGACTCCTCGTTCGCGTCGACCGTCTGCTCGCGTCGGCCTTCTGGACTCGTTTATAACTATCTCTGGGCTTTCCCTTCTCTTCATTGGGGCCGACCTTTCTTGGGCCCAATATTCATCCATTCTATCTTCTTTCTTCTTCAGGCCCTAGGCCCATTGGGTCCGTACCCCATCAACTAGTCTCTCACTTTCCGGTACCGGGCCCTTCTTGTCCGAGTACTGGAAAGTACCAGTCTCCCTTATGCGAAATTGCCTACGTTACTCCCCCTTTTTCCGTCTACGCTTATGACCGGATTGCGGCCGAATTTGCCATGATTCCCACTGATTCCCTCTTTAATTCATGATTGCCTTACGAGCCTATAAATGAGGTTTCCCTCCCACTTCTTTTCTACACTCCATTCCTTTTCTTCTGGTCTTACCATGGGTCGACCACCGCTAAACAAGAAGAAGATCGACTTCGGTTCGCCGTCCAGCTCCCCGCCGAACAAGGCGAAGAAAAAGGTTAAGAAGTCTATGTCCCACAAGCGTTCTGTGGTCCTAGGAGTGTCAATACGGGCCGGCCCGCCCCATCGCGGGCTTTTTATTTGGCGGGCTGGCCCGCGAAGCCCACGGGCTTGGAACTATACAACCCAAACCCGCCCCATGTGGGTTTGCGGGTCTCCCGGGCTGGCCCGCGGGCCATCACTTAAATTTTAAAAAAAAAAACATTAAATAGTATGTAAACATGTTAAAAGCGCTTGAAATATGGCACCGTAAACTTCCATAAACCTCGCACAAATTTCCCAGATCGATACCACGCATTCAGCAGAACTGTAGAAGGGTGATCAAAACTAGGGTTCAACAGCACACTCGATTTTTCTCTCGGCTTCAGATTTTCCCTCTACAATTCCTGTCTGTGTATAATACATATATAAATATGTATGTTTGCTAGACTTGGAGGCGATTTAGTAATTCATAAATATGTATGAATTGATGATTTAGTTTTAGTAATTATTTGATAGAGTTAGAGGCGAATGGAGACGGGAGAACCGAAGAACTACGAACTCTAGGAATTATTGAATTAAGAATTGGCGAAGGATTATTGAATTATTGAATTTCTCCCCTTCTGCGTACTCTTAGATAGTTAGATCTACACATTGCCTAAGAATTAAGATATTATATATATGATTTTTTTTTTTAAAAAAAAGATATATTATATATATAATTCATTTATTTATTTTTTACATATGGCCTGGCCTGCGGGCCGGCCTGCAACCCGCGCGAGTTTGCCCTGCGGGCTCTGGCCCTCCCTCCGCGTACCATGCCCGTTAGGCCCGCATTTTCGCGAGCCTAATTTCTTGCGGCCCTAACCCGCTACATTGCGGGGCGGGTGCGGGCTAATCCGCGGACTCCGACCCACTTTGACACCCTTATGCGGTCCCTTCTTCATTTGGGTCCCGTATGCCGGAGGATGTGCCGCCTCCGAGTGTTGACCCACCCCGTCCGAGGATGGGACTTTCGTGGAAGTGGCTATCCCTGAGCAATTGTCTTTTGAGATGACTTTCACGATCCCACTTTACGACCCTGCCGAGCCAGCCACTAAGCAACTGTCGGATGCCGACTATGCTCGATTCTTGGAGACTTACGCGGGAGACGCTGCGCAGGTGGCCCCTCCCATGATGCCGGCCTTTTGGGACTCGGTATGCCCGTCTCCCACGGGCTCTGACTCGCCCAACGATATGTCCTTCTTGGATGAATTTTTGTCTCCTGAAAAGTGAGCTGGACCAGTCGTCGGGGTTGAACCGCTGAGGTGGGCCGTCAATGCTGAAGAATCGCTGTTACCGTGAATGAGGACTTAGGGAAAGTATTCGGAGGGCCCTTAAATAAAACTTTCCCAAGTGTTTGATGTATCGTGGCCCTCTTTTTAATAAAAAAAAAAATATGATTCTTGATGGGGTAAAAGACCCCGGCCCAAGAGATAGGGGCCCAAAGAAAATAGAAGTGGGCCAGCATCGAGAGGAGCCCAAAGAGCAATCGGGCTGAGTCCAGGAGTCGGCCGAGGCCCAAGCCCATGAAAGGACCCGGCTCGAAGAGCCGTTGAGGGCATTAAAGGGGTTCCTTTAAAAGAGAGCCGTTGAAGCATTAAAGGCAGGACCCGGTCGGGCTGTTACAAGCCTAGGAGAGCCGTTGGTCGACCGAGTAATGGCGTCCAACGGCTCCATATCTTGATTAGCCTTGAAGTCGGCCATTAAGGGCCTTCAAGTCGGCAGAGAAGGAGCCACTATATAAAGGCTCCTCCATTCTTGTAAAAGGGGAGACATTTTTCGGACACCCGAGAGAGGGGGGAAATAACAAGGAAATTCCGAAGCACTAGCATTACCTCTGAGTTAGACGTATATTTTATTGAGAGGTGTATCCACCGACCAAAGGTTGTGTTGGACCTCCTTGGGCCCGAAAACCCTAAAACCATCACTGGCACCGTCTGTGGGGATCGAAACGAAGAGTCACGTATCCTCTTGAGTGAGGCGAGTCCGAGGAACGACAGTCAGAACCTCAGTCGAATTAGGAAAACTCCAGACATGGCAGGAAGCGAGGAACAGTCGAGCCGTCATGACAACGGACGGGAGGCCGACCTGAGAAGCCAGCTGAATCGGAGAAGCGCTCGGAGCCAAGAAAACGAGACGACACCGCCGCCGACGCCGCAGATAAACCGGCAATTGCCTCAGGTGCTGCTCACCCCGGAGCAGTTACGCGCAATCGGACGCGCCTGCGCCGAAGCAAGCCTAGGAGTGAGAGAACAGTCCGTCACCCGCCAGCCGCAACGCGAGTTGCAACCGCCTCAGAGGCCCGACAACCGGCAATTGAGCCGACGGGCTGAAAGCCAACCGGTACAATCCGTTCATTCCCGGCTGGGTCCCAGCGTTGGGCGTCGGTCGGCAAGAGAACGATTAGGCCGGAAGGAGCCCAGTCGTGCCCCACTAGCCGCCCGCGATCAACAAGCTGCACGAGAGAAGAGCCGAACCAAAAGAGCCAGGACTGAGACTCGTCACGTGGAGCAACCCCCCCGCAACCCCGTCGTACCGGCTGAGTCTGAAGTCGGCGAGAGCACGAAATCCACGGGAAATCGCACCCGGGAGAGGGTCGAAGTGGCAAACTTAGTACAGGAGGTGCGAAATCTGAAAGAACGGATGGAGGGGAAAGCCAAGTCCCCAGGACGTACGTTGCTGACCGCCTTACCCTTCTCGGACGAGGTTATGGCTTTTAAGATACCGAGTGACTTCAAGTTCCCGGAGCAAGCCACGTTCGATGGAACCGGCGATCCCCGTGAGCATTTGCTGAGCTATCAGGCTAAGATGCAGGTTTTAGGGGTACGAGATCTGGTCATGTGTCGCGCTTTCTTACCCACGTTGAAGGGGTCAGCACAAAGGTGGCTGGTGGCGCAGCCCTCAGGGTCGATTCACAACTTTGAAGAGCTGGCAGACCGCTTCATGAGCCATTACGCCGCCAATATCAAGCAACAAAAGGACCTAACTCACTTGGGTGACATCCGTCAAGACGAAGGCGAATCTTTGAAAACCTATTTGGCCCGCTGGCAGAGAGAAATCCAGTCCATAGAGGTGGTCGAGGACCAGACAGCGCTCACCTTCTTCATCGAGTCGCTGCGGTCCGGCCAGCTGTACCGAGACTTGAGGGACAATCGTCCGGCCACCTACGCAGAAGCCATTCATATGGCCAACAAGAG